CACAACAAATGGCAAACCACATACACACCAGTACACTGTGACGGTAAATTAAGTATACTGCACCCATAAGGCAATTACGTAGTAAGCAGGTTATAGTAACATTATCTTCTTAAGTAAACTCAACTTCACCCAATTCCTCTTTACTTCTAAAACTTGAACCGGAAAAGTAAAGTTTGTATGGATGCTAAACCTAAGTCAAATTAATTGTGTATACAATGTGTATTTTGAAGAGGAAGCTTCGCAACTCGTCTACGGAGATGAGCTCAGCTTCAGGCAAGTTGGCCTTGCTGATGGATTGATACTCTTTCGCTAGCCTCTTCTGGTATGGATGCGAGACAATAGTGAGGCTTAATTCTGCGTTGGGTTGGAGGAAGAAAAAAAACAAAAACAGACAATGCATTGCAAATTTCGTGCCTTAAATTGGTAATGCTTATGTAATCATAGAGATAAGCTTCTTCCCTGCCTCAAGTTGGTTTAAGGTTGACTACGAGGGGCGCACATTTTGGCGGAACCCTACGAGCGATGCTAATTTCGTGAACAAGTGTGAGTGTGAGAATATGTGAGTGTGATGAGAACAAATGAATTGGCATGAAATACTACTTCCCCTCTGCTCTGAACGGGCAGTTGATAAGAATTTGAATTTTGTCTTTCGCTGCATTGTTTTCTTTTCTCCGACTAATCTCCCGCCACACGTACGTAAGGCATCAATGTGTATATAGTGGAACAATTTTCCTCAAGAAAGATTCAGCGACAGATTTTCAAGGGAAAGCAAGATGAAATTTGCAACTACAGCCGCTGCTTTGTTAGCCGTACTTGGTGCTGCTGAGGCATTAGCCATCAACCCACAAGAGCCATTCAACTTGGTTGACATTGATAGAGAAAGTAAGCTATTTTCCAAAGCTTCGAAGTACTTTAATGAGCCCTTGGAGTCATTGACGGATGAAACAAAGAAGTTGTGGTCGGATTTTGTTTTCCAGTCGGATGCTTTCAAAGGTTTGAGAATGGCAGGAGGTAAAGCTAAGGTTAATAAACAAGATTTTGACTTCCAAGTCAAGGATCAAAAGGTGCCTAACCATCAGTTGAGGGTCAAATCCATCCCTGAAGACTTGGGGATCGATACTGTCAAGCAGTACTCGGGATATTTAGATGTTGAAGATGAAGATAAGCATTTCTTCTTCTGGGCGTTTGAGAGTAGAAACGACCCAAAGAAGGACCCAGTGATTTTGTGGATGAACGGTGGACCGGGGTGTTCGTCAAGTATGGGTCTCTTCTTTGAATTGGGTCCATCCTCAATCAACAAGGGTATTCAAGCAGTCCACAACCCATTCTCCTGGAACAATAACGCCACAGTCATTTTCTTGGACCAGCCTGTCAATGTTGGATACTCCTACTCGTCATCCTCGGTCTCAAACACTGTTGCTGCTGGTAAGGATGTTTACGCTTTCTTGGAGTTGTTTTTCAAGCAATTTCCACAGCTTGCCGAGTTGGATTTCCACATTGCAGGTGAGTCTTATGCTGGCCGCTACATTCCTGTTTTTGCTAGTGAGATTTTGAGCCACCTGGAACGTTCCTTCAACTTGACGTCAGTTTTGATTGGTAACGGATTGACAGACCCATTGACGCAATACGAATACTACGAGCCAATGGCCTGTGGTGAAGGTGATGAACCAAGTGTCGTTGATCCACAGCAGTGCCAAATAATGGATGCCACAAAGCCACTGTGCTTGTCGTTAATCAAACAGTGCTACGAGACAGAGTCGGTTTGGAGCTGTTTCCCTGCCACCATTTATTGCAACGAGGTACAGATGGGCCCTTACCAAAGAGCTGGAAATAACATATACGACGTTAGACTCAAGTGCGACGGTTCGCTGTTGTGTTATGAAAACTTTGAGTATATTGAAAAGTACTTGAACAAGCCTGAGGTTATTGAAGCCGTTGGAGCAGAAGTTTCAGGTCACGAATCCTGTGATTCTGATACTCACACAAACTTTGTATTCTCTGGAGATTGGATGAAGCCATACTACAAGAAGGTGATTGACGTTTTAGAAAAGGGAGTGCCAGTGTTGATTTATGCCGGTGATAAGGATTTCATCTGCAACTGGTTGGGAGACCAGGCATGGACTGACAGGTTACAATGGAGTGGTTCAAAAGGCTTTGCCAAGGCGCCAATTAGAAAGTGGGAAGTCGATGGCGAGCATGCTGGAAACGTTAAGAATTACGACAAATTCACATTCTTGAGAATCTTTGGCGCCGGCCACATGGCGCCACATGACAAGCCAGAGAACTCACTCGACATGGTCAACAGATGGATCAATGGTGATTACAAGTTGTAAGCGTATAGTTTAAGTAAGAGATTCAAAAATGGCTCAGTGTCTAGCTCAATGTCTTATTTACGTTCTTAATAAATAGTATTGATTGCCCTGCATTTCTTATTAAGAAGTTGCTGCAGTGGTACTAGTTCATACTTAATACACAAATACTTTCCTAATCAGTATACAAGTTGCTTGAATATTGCTCCCACTGTATTTGTAATAATTAAATAGCAATTTACCAAATCTGAAGATTACTTTTCTAATGAAGATAAAACTTGAATTTCAAACTAACTATAAAAATGTATAAAATGTGCCGATTGAGCTACTTACGTAGTTCCCCAAATCTCGCATAACCATCTAAATCACCAACGCGTAACAGCTTAACCACCTTCCTAACAAGGTTAAATTATAGTATGTTTCCGTTAATGGTAAATTTAGCAGCATGTTGTATGTAATTGCTAGCTTATTTGTATGATTGTATTAAGACCCTATATTTAAGTCTCATGTAATGCTGAGTAGGTTGAAAGACTGAAATACTTTTAATATATAGCATCGTATTATTATAAGATGAATGAAAGTTAAGTTATAAAAGTTTTGTTATAAAATAAATAAAGAAAGGGACAATTCAAGAGTTTAAATAACCCTGAATGTTTTACAATCTCGTATAATTGAAACGTATTATTAAAAGTTTTGTTGTGTAACATCCTCTGGATAACTTTCTATTTTGTTGGATGGATAACATTTCATGTATTTGGCTGTGAACTAAAAGTCGTATAATAACAAGTAAACAATTGGTAGCATTATATCTATGGTGTAACAGAAATTTATATAAAACCTATATCTATACGCTGGCTGCAAGTGCCTCCAATTCGTCGTAATTGTAAAATTTATCATCATCATCCTCATCACCGTCGTCACTTTCAGCCTCATTACTCTCCAAGGACAACGACTGAGTATTTTTCCTAATTTCAATCAACGACGCAATTTGCTTTTGGGTCTCCTCCGACAATGACTTTATTCCCTTCAACATTTTCAACCCATCCAACCACACAAACCGGTTAACATCAGAGTCTGTGTAGAACGAAAGCAACTTGGTTTTGTTCGTCCCGAGGATGGTAATCTTTTCGTACGAAATGGTACCTTTGATCGAGATCAACATGGTATTCTTTTGCTTTTCCTTTTCACCAATCGATTCACCAATTTTGATCGATTTCAAATCTTGAATGTCATTCAACTTGATTCCACCTGTTTGCTCCAACTCTTCAATACTTGGATTGGTGCTGGGCTTTTCACTGTATTCTTTAAAGTATATCCATTTCCTATTTGGTGACAAGACAATGTAATAATATTTGGCCGATGACGAATTCTTCCTTGAGCTAAATAGCGCCTCTCCGAATGATTCGGTGAAAACCCACGATCCTTTCAATAACTGCACCACTCTCTGCTCCGACACTAACTGAGCCACTTCCTTATTGAGCTCTTGATCAAATTCAGTGAATTTAGGGTTCCATTTGTTGATAAAGTCTTCGCTAATCTTTGAGGCCTGGTTGTGCCTCATGTCATCTCCTGATCTCGTTGAGGTAATGTCAAGACACTCTTCAATCGACTTGGCATCACCCAATTGCTCCTCAGATGTGTCAATGGTAGATTCCAATAACTGAAGAATCTTGTCAATGTCGAGTTTATTGTTTTGTGACTTTGTCTCTTGCCAGAGAATAAGGCAATTGTTCATGGTGTAGTAAATCATGAGCTCCCAGTTCAAGATCGAGTTTACAATATTAGGGTATTTCTCACGTTGTTCAAAGATATCAATCCACATTTTCGAAGTCTTTGCAATGAATAGCGACAATGGAAATGTTCTAGAATGCTCACTCATCATCAACTCCTCGTGAAACCTCTTTTTGAATGTAAAGTTTGGGTCCTTTAAGAATATCTTCAAATCCATGGCAAGAAGGATGGAAAAATTGTCCACGATAAACTGGCGGGGATTTTCGGTAAAGCCTGCTTTCACGTATTCTGAAGTAGTGGCGGGCGAGCCGTATTCGTTAAGCGATATTTCCAAAAAGATAAACAAGTTATTCAACATGATTTGGTGGGCTGGAATTGATAAATCAAAGTGAATATCGTTAAGGTAAACATTGAGATCATAGTATGCCACCTTCAACTTCTCAATTGCCTCCAAAATAAGCTTGTCCTCGGTCAATTCAACTAAGCTGTCAACCGTACTGAAAAACAAGACATGCTTCAACCGACCAGACAAGGTGATTATACCCGCGTAGTTGTATTTCAATGCCTTATTGATGAGATCAGTAACCAACTTTATCGAATTGAAAATAATCTTGCTGTCTTGAAGCATCAACTTCGTAGTCATTATGTCAATAACATCCAAGTATTCGACCAAGGTTTCATACAACAGCAAGTACCTCACAATTGAATCGTCCTTTGACTTGAACACGGCGCCGGAAATGTCAATAGTAGCAATCTTTAGTATCGCTTTATACGTCTCAGAAGACATGTTGATACTGACGATTGAAAATAACGTGCTGAATAGTTGGTGATCCAATACACGAACAAAGTCATCCGTGACTGCATCACTGCCAATAATGCAATCTAGCAACTTTGTTATAACAACTATTGAGTTGACTTTCTCCTGCTTATCCTTGCCTAAGATGTTGGCCTTGAGAACCGTTGCATAATTCAAAGCGGTCGACTCGTCAAGCTGTAGTTTATTTATATTGTCTAGTTTTGATTAGTATTTTAGTTTGTGAAAGAGAGAGAGAGAGAGAGCCCTGTTGCTTTTGGTAACGTACTTTTACTCAATATTTCATTCAACTTGTGGTTGATGGTTCTTGAAGAGTCAGCCATGGTTGAAGAGAGACAGTGAGTGTATGTGTGTTCTGGTGGAATTTGTTCTGGTAAAGATATATGAAATTTCGTTCAATTTATAAATGGAAATTGGCTTTTCATATCGTCAAAAAATGAAATAAATGAAACAAAGAAGACAAAGAAGACAAAAAAAAAGAAATCGCTTAAAAGTGAAAAGAGTTAAACAAGTTGAAATAAAAAAAAAACAAACCAATTAATTTCAATTTCACAAAATTGGAAAATTTCTCTTGGGATGGTGGTTACAATTTGTAAAACAGGGTGTATCCATATGGCGATCTTCTTGCAGATGAGATCTACAACAATACGCAAAGGCGAATGTATTGTAATGACCACGCAGTACCGATAACCAAAGAACTTGGACCTTACTTAGGAATTCAAAGTGATAGTGGAAGTGGTGGGTTGACAGGAAAAGAAATTTTAAAATTAATTTTCCAAAATTTCATGAATTTAAATTTAAGTTGTAATACTCTATTTATGCATCAAATGTTAAATAACCAACCAACTAACCAACAAGAACAAGAACAAGAACAAGAACAAGAACAAGAACAAGAACAAGAACAAGAACAAGAACAAGAACAAGAACAAGAACAAGAACAGGAATAAAAGATAGCCCAGCCAATTTACGAGGGAGAAGGCAACATTAACAGAGATATTTACCATTTCTCCAGAGATAGATCGAGATAGACACCATCACTAGCCATTGTAGGCTATGTAACAACTGCCTGTTGATTCCATAATGAAGCGTAAGCAGTTCTTCACTAAAACTATAAACAGCTCTTTTTCTGTCTCAGTCCTCAAGCTCAAATCATGGGCCGGCTGCAATGATCCAGAACCATATTGTCAGTTACCTCTAAACGATCCTTAGATTCTCTCTCACAACATTAACAATCTGCTTTGGGTAGCATTCAGTGTCGTATAAATTATACGACATGTGAAAATTTTGGGACAATGAGACCAAAGAGAAAAAGAGAAAATAAAAAATAAAAAATAAAAAATAAAAAGTGCTGGGCTTATATATTCTCCCCCCCCTCAATCGCTCCTTAAGCCAAACCTCAATGACAAACACCAATAACCTTGAAAACTACCGTGGTTTTCATGCCAACAAGAGACCAAATAACAATGTACCACCATTGCTCCACCCGATAAAGCCTAAATTCAAGAAAAAGAGCAGTTCGTTGTTCAACAAATTGATATATTCCAGAAAAGAAAGCAATGGGGATGAAGAAGACCAACAGGACGATGAAGATCCCAAAAAGGAGCATCTAGTATCATCTTCAGATGCATCAGTCTCCCCAACACACTCTGGCCATTCATCGCGAGCCAATTCGATTACTTCAGATGAGCAACAGTTTCAACAGCAACAAGAACATGCACTAAAACGCAAAAGCAATTCATCAGCTTCGTCAAGCCATTCGAAACATAAATTCAGACTTCCGTCGCTATCATTGGACTACCACCCACATCATGTTTCGTCTGTACTGCCAAATCTGTTGCAAATGACGCAGCCGGAGCACCCAGTAACTCCATTGAAACCGAAACATGACTTGTATTCAACACCCTCCCCATCAGACGTGTCACAAAGGGATAAGTCAGTGACATCGCTACACTCGTTGGCCACCAATGATAATATGATGTCGTTGGATTTGAATTTAGATGAGATTAGAGATATTGTAAAGAGCGACGAGGCTGCAACACCTAAGCAAAATTGGAAGGCTCCAGATAGTTGGGATGTCAAGGCTTCTAAAATAGAAGAGGTACCAGAGGAATACAATGAACCAGACTTTGTTGAAAAGCTGTTGCCAGTGCTTTATGGAACGAGACAAGGATCACATGTATCCAAATCGATGGACCCACACCCTAGTCACATCATTCGAATATTTAAAGAAGACAATACATTTACAACCATATTGTGCCCTTTGGAGACAACAACAACGGAGCTTTTGACAATTGTGCAAAAGAAGTTCTTTTTGGAATCGGCATCAAACTATCAGTTATCAGTGCACATTGGAAACTGTGTGAAAGTTTTGGAGAGCTTTGAAAAACCAATCAAGATACAAACAGGCCTACTTCTTCTAAGTGGGTACACAGAAGACGACAACTTAAGGATTATTGGTAGAGGAGACATGTCCTTTGTGTGCAAATTTGTCGTCGAAAATATATACCTAAGGAGCTTAACCCATGAAGAGGAGGCGTTGCTATCAAAGAATTACGTTGATGTCAACATATCATCTTTGAATCTTAAAAATATCCCAATCATCTTCCACCAACACACCTATGAAATTGAAAAATTAAACGTATCAGAAAACCCATCTATATACATACCGTTGGATTTTATTCAATCGTGTACCAATTTGACGAGTGTCAACTTTTCACGCAATGGATGCTCGAAATTTCCCACCAACCTTTTAGAGGCAACTGGGCTTACACATTTGAACCTCGAGATGAACTTTTTGGACGACTTACCAGTAAAGATCAACAGACTCGATAACTTGACACACTTGAAGCTCAACTCTAATCAGTTGTCACTGCTTCCAAAGTCATTTGGTCAACTCAAAAATTTGGTTTACCTCAATTTGTCGTCAAATTATTTCAACAGCTACCCCGAGCCTGTTAACGATTTGGACAAATTGATAGAATTGGACTTGTCATATAACGATCTTTCATACTTGCCCGAATCAATGGTGAATCTAAAGAGCTTGCAGAAGTTGAATTTGTGCACAAACAAACTTGGCAAGGCCTTGCCGGAATTTCTTGCTGGCTTACAGTCCTTAAAGAGGTTAGATATTCGTTACAACCAGATAGCCAACGTGGATGTCTTGGGCGAGTTGCCCAACTTGGAGGTGTTGTACGCCTCAAGGAATGCAATATCGGCATTTTGTGATCAAATGGAGAATCTAAGACTTCTTCACTTTGATAAGAATCCCATCACAGAATTAAAGTTTATCAACCAATTGCAAATGCTCAACATTTTAGATCTATCAAAGGCAAAAATTACCGCCATTCCTTCCGAGTTTGTCGTCAAAATTCCAAATATTGAAAAGTTGGTGCTTGATAAAAACCATTTGGTTACACTTCCACAGGAATTGGGTCAATTGACAAGATTGTCGTATCTTTCTATCTATTCAAACAACCTACAAGCGGTGCCATCTTCGATTGGCAATCTTGCCAATTTACAGTACTTGAGCCTACACTCCAACAGTATCCAAACCTTGCCGGACGAGATTTGGAACTTGCGGTCATTGGCGATATTGAATGTGGCTAGTAACAACCTCACGTCTTTCCCCAAACCCCCCTTTGCCATTGCAAAACGAATTTCCTCCTCAAATGATTTCGGCGAGTTGCCCGCTTCGGAATCCATTGCAGATACCTTGTCGGTTTTAACAATCTCAGACAACAGGCTAAATGATGACTGCTTTGATGCCATTTCATTCCTCATTAGCTTGAAATCGTTGAATTTGTCGTACAATGACTTGATCGAGATCCCCGAAGGCTCGATATGCAGAATGAAACGATTGAATGAATTGTACTTGTCTGGTAATGACTTGACAACACTTCCCGCGGACGATCTAGAACAATTGAAGGCATTGAAGCTTCTTTACATAAACAATAACAAGTTGGTTTCTCTTCCGGCAGAATTGAGTAAATTGACCAATTTACAACATTTGGATGTCGGATCAAACCAGCTCAAGTACAATATCTCCAATTGGCCATACGATTGGAATTGGCATTGGAACAAAAATTTGAAATACTTGAATTTTTCGGGAAACAAGAGATTTGAAATTAAGCAAAGCCATGTCAAAAATCCAGAGACTGGTGAAGATTTTGATAGTTTGCTAGTGTTGGACCAGTTGAAAGTGTTGGGGTTAATAGATGTGACATTGACCACAACTTCTGTCCCAGAACAATCAGTTGACAAAAGGATAAGAACAACTGCGTCTGAGTTGGACAACATTGGTTATGGTGTGAGTGACACAATGGGCCAAAGAGACTACATATCGAACCGGGATATATTTATTCAAAAATTCAGGGGCAATGAAGACGAGGTGCTTATTTGTTCTTTTGACGGAAAACATGGTGCCCCAAACCAAGGCCATAGAGTTTCTTTAATTGCACGAAACATGATAACAAAGAACTTTACCGATGAGTTGGCCAAAATCAATGACGATCCTGACAAGGTTTACATTGCCCTCAGGAGAGCATTTTTGTCATTCAACAAGGAAATAAATGGAATCTTGTTGGCTAAAAAGAGCCATACATTCACACCTGGTCTACAGTACACCAAAGAACAAAGCGAGTTGAACTTGATTGATGATTCAAGAAGCGGGGCATCGGCTACCGTTGTCTATATCAAAAACAAGAAGCTTTATTGTGCAAACATAGGAGATATCGAGGCGTTGCTATGCCAAAACAACGGCAACTTCCGCGTTTTGACAAATGCTCATAAACCAACAAACCGTGAAGAGTTCGAAAGAATTAGGGCTTCAGGTGGCTATGTCTCGGGAAGTGGTGACTTGGACGGAGACTTGCCCGTGTCGCGTGGAGCTGGATATTTTTCCTACTTGCCCCATACCCATTCTGGCCCCGATGTGAGTGAGTTGACCTTGACTCCTGCTGATGACTTGTTGGTCATTGCCACAAAGGTTTTGTGGGACTTTATCTCCTACGAGCTAGCTGTCGATATTATACGTCAAGAGAAGAACGATCCGATGGTTGCTGCTCAGAAATTACGTGACTTTGCCGTCTGCTACGGCGCTTCAGATAAAATAACGGTGATTGTATTAACATTTGGAGAAAAGACGAAACTGAATGCATTGTACAACAATCTCGGCCGAGAAGCCGACTTTTTCAAAAGAAGAAGAGATAGACAAATTGGTGGTGATTCAACACTCCGTAGATTGGAGAGTGAGATTGAGCCCCCGGTAGGCGAGTTGGCATTGGTGTTCACCGATATCAAGAACTCAACTCTACTTTGGGATTCATACCCATCACCAATGAGGTCGGCTATTAAAACACACAACTCGATAATGAGACGTCAATTGAGAATAGTGGGTGGTTATGAGGTCAAGACAGAAGGTGACGCGTTTATGGTGGCATTCCCTTCACCTACATCTGCCCTATTATGGTGCTTCAATGTGCAGCAAAATTTGCTAACCGCTGACTGGCCAACTGAGATTCTCGAGACCGATCAATGTTGCGAAGTTACCGACGGCGCAGGAAATGTAATTTACCGTGGGTTGTCAGTGCGAATGGGAATCCACTGGGGTTCACCTGTATGCGAACCTGATGTAGTCACTGGAAGAATGGACTATTTTGGACCCATGGTGAATCGTGCTTCTCGAATAAGTGCTGTTGCCGATGGTGGCCAAATTGCCGTGAGTTCAAATTTCCTTGATGAAATGAGAGCATTAACGGCCATTCATGACGATATAAAGAATAATGTCAAGACCATAAGTGATGCATATCAAGGAAATGACAACGCTGGAATAATTATCGAGAGGGAGTTGACAGCAATTGAAGAACTCGGCTCGAATTACTACAAAATCGGAGAGAGAAAGCTAAAAGGGTTGGAAACTCCTGAATTGATTACGTTGGTGTATTCTAGCAGGTTAAAGTTGAGGTTTGAGATTTTCCAAAAGAGACTCGATGCAGATGAACAGCATAGCACGAGGGTTATTGGAACTATACCAATTGAGTGCATCATTGCAATCAATAACATCTCCTTAAGATTGGAGAACTTGTTGTCGTATATGAATGGGGGTACATATATCAAGGAGGGCTTTAAACAGAGTCAAAGATTGGTCGACGCCAATATCCAAGAATTGTTGAATTCGGTAACGAGGATAGAGAACTCGGTGGCCACTTTGTATTTGAGGAAGATGATGGAACAAAACGGTAGACCGTTCGATATGAGCCCCTTAATGCAAGTGTTGGATGAATTATCAGAAATTATGAAACGTGTCCAGAACTAAATAATATATAAACCTAGTTACTTTTCACCTTTTTTGGACCAAGCACTTTTTTCCTTTGCTTGATCATATAAGTGTAGAGCATGTAGAATCCGGGAATATAAGTAACCAAAATAGCCTTCAAGAACCAGCCGTAGTAAAAACCGGCGTCGCCAAGTGACAAAATAATCTGATACACTTCACTAAACACTCCTGTTGGGTACAAGACGTAGAAAGTGGTGTAACGCAACCAGGTCAACCAATGAGGAACATCATTTCTCAAATGCTGGGCGTAGTATGAGTACCTGATAATTTCAGTAATTGACCAACTCAAACACAATGTAATGTAAGTCCAGTGGAAATTTGCTGGTGAGTCGGGTAAATACTGGTGAATACCCCAAACGATCAATAACCTAGAAAACACTTGCGTGACAGTGGTAAACAAAGGTGACTTGACCAATCCAATTGCAGCATTGACAATTTCAACAACAGCCAACGATTGAATGACGGTGGTGATGAGGTTAGTCTTGACAAATACAAATGGTTGACCCAAAGTGAGGGAAAGAAATATGGTGTTGAAAAATACAACAGACCATAACGATGCTGAGATGGAGTTGTATGCAACTAAGTATCTATTAGGTTCTGGTTGTGCCATTTGGTGTAGGTGAAAGTGAAGACAAACCTCGGGATTATAAATTTTTTTTTTACGTTTTTTGTTGGGGGATAAAAATACAACGCGTGGAAGCACAACCAAACAAACTACTATTCAAACTTTATACACTCTTAGCTCAGCTTCTCCTTTTCTCTTTTCAACACCTTTCCTCTTTGTTTGATCATGTAGCTGTACAAGTACAAAAATCCTGGTATATACAATGGCATAGCATACTTTAAAAACTTGGAGTAGCCAGGCAACCTCGTTTCAATAACCTCATAAGAGTTGTAAACTGTGAGACTTTCACAAACAAGTCCCAAAGGATACAACAAAAAGAATGCTGAGTACCGCAACCACAAGATCGAGTAAGGCACTGAAAATTGGCCCAACTTAAGGACATAAAACCCGTACCTGATAATCTCAGTAATTGACCAAGCCAAAGTCAAGCCGGCAAATGTGAAAATGTTGTAATTGGCTGATGATTCAGGAATGACGACGCAAATTCCAACTAAAATGATTAATCTTGCAAATGATTGAAGAAGCAAAGTTGGGATCGGTGTTGGTACCAAACCGACAACCGTATGGAGCAATTCAAGTGAGGAATTGAAAAGTTGGGTTGCAATCATGAATTTGTGGGGGATTCCGTGGCCAGGCTCAAACAGGTAGTATCCATTGGAGATGTCAATTGCACATCTGTATAGAATGTAAGCCCAGAGCGAGGCAGACACGCCATTGTAAAGGAGTAAATACAGCTTCGCCATGTTTGGACAATGGGGGTGGTGGGTAAGCGTGTTGTTCAAGAAAGTTTATGAAAGCATTCTGAGGGTCCTTTTTTTTTTTCTCTTTGACTTTGCTTGTGACAATTATTGCAGGTTCTACATGAAGAGGATATATCCACTAATACTAAACTGGTGCTATTTTATTTGTATGTATCTACTCAAAGAGTTGTCGCTTTCTATTGTTCAACGTATTTTGCCAACAATGCTTTCAATGTCTCGTGGTCTCCGGCCAACAAGTCCTGGTCCCAATCAACCACTAAAGGCGCTTTAAAAATCTGGGCTGGGTTTGTATCCACCGAATGGTCTTTCTCATTCTCCACCAACTTGTTAAAAGTGTCGTAGATCTTCTGATACTCTGATTGAGAAAACACCTTGTTGGACCAGTCAATGCCCTTGATGGTTACCTTCTTGCCATGCGAGTCAAGCAAATCTGTCAGTCTCTCGTTCAAAAAGGGGAAACTCTCATGCAACGTATTTTTAGCCTGGTCGGTCTTGAGGAATTTGTTGACGAAAATTTGGTACTGCTCATAAGTAGGCATCTTGTTTTGCATTAAATCAATTTGGAAATCATACTTTGGCTTTTCGGGTAAAGAATCGTAGGTCTTGTTTAAGATTTTGTACAATTCGTTGGATAATGGGATTTTGCTATTGTGGAAAAGGGTAACGGTTGCTGGTGACGATTGTAAAGTTCTGAAAAGCGACATGATTGTTGGAAATGTAGGCGGTATGTTTCAATTGCTCTGTAAAAGCCTGTTATTTAGAAAGGAAACTATATCTCGAAGTGAAATTAAACGGGAAAGTTTATTTACTTTTTGGTCAGTTTTTGAAAATGGGATTGCAGTTTTGTTGTTGCCTGATGCAAAGAGGGTTTTCTCACTATTGGATGGAATTGTATGGAACGAATTTTGACAAAAGGAGAGGGATGGACTTTTTGTGTCATTTGTCAGAAGCAATCTTATCAATGGAGTGGATTGCGCGCTACCAATTATATTTGAATTATTAAGGGAGTCAACCAGTTGAAATCAGACTTCGTTTAGATGAAGAGGAGTTTGAGTGTCTCACATAATGAGAGTTTATAAGGTTGTGTAAATGTAAGCTAATTGGCACAGAATGAGACGTTTTCACAAAAATATTTTGCATCAATTTCGTGCAAAACTGTTAAATCACCACAACTGCAATCACACTTGAACACAAGAGAGTAAATTCTAAAGCCTTCCCAGCCAATGAAGCAACACCAGGATTACTTGTCATGGTCTTACATGCATATCCCCCACTAAGCCGAGGTTCACACTTTTTACGTTTAACGCTCTCTCTTGAATTAAAAAGCCAAAAAAAAAAACAAAGAAATAATAAAATGTGGCACCAAAGAGTCATCATACAACAAAACACTAGCCTTAAAAAGATGTGCAGATTCATGATATTCAAAGGAAGAGAGCCTATGGTCTTATCCGACCTTCTAACTAAGCCAGCACACTCAATAATCAACCAGTCATTCGATTCGAGACTACGGTTGGACATGCGAAATCCCATCAATGGTGACGGATTTGGGGTTGGCTACTACACCGAACACAACGAACCCTGTGTCTTCAAAGCCATCACTCCCGCTTGGAATAACGTCAACTTGAACAACTTGTCTCAATGCACCGAGTCAGAACTAGTATTTGGCCATGTGAGAGCATCAACGCAAGGTGTGTTGTCAGAAACAAATTGCCATCCTTTCAGTTATGGCAAATTAATGTTTATGCACAATGGCGGTGTTTCCTGCTTCAATTTGATCAAAAAGAAGCTTATAAACCATTTGGATGACAAGTACTTTCTTCTAATACAAGGCTCGACCGACTCAGAATGTTGCTTTGCCTTGTTTCTTGATACTTTGGACAAGATGGGATACGATCCACTGTCCAAAGATACAAAGTTTTCTCACACAGTGTTGAAAAAGGCAATCTTGGAGACTATAGAGTTGATCAAGAACTGGCAAACTGAAGTAACGTCAGAACCATCTTTGTTGAATTTTGCTGCAACTGATGGCGAGTCGATTGTCGTTAGCAGATACATCACCTCAAAGACGGATGAAGCAGCATCGCTACATTTCAGTACCGGTTCCAAGTTTTTTGAATACCAGCCGGGATTATTTAAAATGGAGAGATTGAATCGGTCACAGGATGTTATATTTGTTTCCAGCGAGCCATTGACTTTTGAAAGAGGCGACTGGTTGTGTGTACCGACAAATACGCTAATCACAATTACCAACAAAAACACCGTCTTGATGCATCCTATAGAAGACGAATTCTACGATGGCGGAGTTGGCGAAAGGTCGTCTGGATTTGCCATGAGTAAAGGCTTGATGGGTGGAGTACCACCATCTGAGGAAGATCACGCTAAAATAGAAAATGGCATCACAGTTAACAGCAATGGCAACGCAATTATGCAGCAGGTTCCACCACTTGAAAGAGAAGGAAGAGCTAATATCAAAGCCACAGTCCATTAAAAATATACAGGTTTCGTAAAATCAAAAAAAAACACTCTATATCAGAATAAATTCAATGCATTATTATTATCGTTTCAAAAGGTAAATCGTTCTCATTGGGTTTGTGTAAAAGTAAGTTCTCTAGTTTTTGCTAGCAGATCTCGTCAATTTAGGAGCATCTGCATCTAACTCCTCATCCGAGCTTGAGTTGGAACTTGAATCTGAATCGTCCTCCAATTGCGCATCTGCATTCTTGTCAAACTCAGGATGAGCATTCTTTAATTCACCCATACTGTCGTACAACGGATTGGATTTCTTGTACGACATACCATCATCATTAGGATCTATATAATCGTCAGCGTCATCTTCATTTGCAATATTTTTATCATCATCCTCGTCATCTTCGCTTGAACTCTCTTCGCGCTCTTCGTTTGCACTGTTTGAGGTGTTGGCAAGCTGCTGTGACATGTAGTTTGAGAAATGATCGTCGTCGTCTGATTCCGATTCATCACTATCCAACAAGTCCTTTTTATTCTTTTTAACTCGATTTGTGCCACCCACTTCTCTGCTATCATCATTGTCTCCAGCATCCTCTTCATGTGCTTCTTCAACCTCTCTCTCCTCATCGTCGTGAAACACCAATCCAGTCTTGACTTCCTCAATTATCTCACCTAATCCTTCATCAAACGTCGTGTTATCCTCCTCATCTTTATCGTCATCATCCTCATTTCCACCCAAGATTGCATTGTACTTTTCTCGAGTATCATACAAAACATTACTAACATAATCTTCCCACACGTCACTCTCAATCTTTTCATTAATGTAATCGCTCAATGTGTTGGATGGGAACAATTGCACAAACTTGACAACTTCTTCGGCAATCAAGGTCAAATGGCCCATGAAACCCAACCGCAAGCCATTATGACTGGTTTCATAGTCACTGCATAGTCTTTGTCCTTCGATAATCTTGTTGGTAATATCAGCCAGATGGAACAAATCAATTGCCAAGAACTTGTTAAACCCAATATCCATTGACCCATTCAAGACTTGTTGTACAACATCAAATACAACATTGTGTAAAAAGTTATTCCAAGGGAAACGGAAAAACATGGATAGTATATTAGAAATGATCTGGGTGTCAAACAATGCAATCTTCAAAAAATCACCCACCACTGGGCTTGCCCTGATTTGCTCTTCCGTCAAATTTGAGTTTGCATGAGGCTCATCTTCGTCAAGTGCATCTTCTTGCTTGTTAAATTCATCAATCGTGTCGTCTTTAACCGAGTTGGCAGTATCATCTCCATCGTTTGTGTCTTCCTTCTCATCATCCTCACGTGGTAAGTTAATAACTTCATTGTACTTGAAGCTGATTGGATCATACTCCTTCATCTTTATCCTCAACTCATCACGCTCTTTAACAACATCAAATCCCTTATTGTCGTTCAACAACGCCATGTTGGAGCAATGCAATAACTCGGCAATCAATTCACAGATTTTAAACCTCTCAAACCCCAATGGCTGAATTACACCAAATGGCGTTCTCAATTTGGAATCACTATGTTCTTTAATCAACAACTCGTTAAAGTCCAGAATTCGTTCCCCAAACACCCTTAGCAAGTGACCGAGGTAAATCGGGTCCCTTCCTGTCGGAGGGTGACTCTCCAATGTGATGTATAATACAGGTAATATGTCATAATCGGAATTGTTCTTTCGGATGATTTCAATGATTATGCCTACACCGTTTGCCAATGCATAGCCACCTTTTAGCATAATCTCACACAACCTAGTCATTTGATCTTTTGAAACGAGTTCTCTTGTGAGTTCGTTTGGCCCTATAGTTGAATTGTCAGCCGTCGAATTTGCTGATATCGTTATTAGAGCCTTGAGGAAATCTGCTGCTGAGCTTTGCTCAATCAAAAGTAATTCATGACTCTTGTCTTCTTCTACTATGCCACTTTCAGGGACATCCGAAACATCCAACGCATTTATCAAACGCGAGATCAAGTCTTGGTTTTGCAAAAATTCTATTATACCGGTCGAGTTATCTGGCTTGTCTGTGGATATCAATTTTAGCAAAAAGTCCATCAATGGAGGATTCGATAAGTGGTTGATAAATTTTTCGACTAAATTTGGTTGATTGTCTATAAGGTAGGTTATCATTTCGTCACATTTCATGTCTAGCAAATGTTCCATGATTTTCATAAAGTGAGTTGAGACGTGGATGTCGAGTGCATCCTTTGTATCCAAAACGCTCCACAACTTATTAAGGTTCTCAGTGGACTCCATAACGGTATCAGTTAAGGACCATACATCTGCACTGAGCACTTCAGACGCCAATGTTGCCCTTCTTCTGAACCTATCTTCAGACAGTTCTTCTTCCTCCGCATCATCGTCGTCGTCATCATCGTCATCGTCATCATCATCATCTTTATCATCCAGATCACCAGTGTCATGTTGCGGTGTTTCTTGCTCCTTTTGATCTGACAGCTCTTTAGCTTCCTCTCCTTCCTTCGAGTCAAATGATTTACTCAAATCTTTTGAAGTACTAGCTGAATCGTTCTTCTCACCATCCCCCTCCTTCTCTTCTATAATATCTGCTTCAGAGTCCTTTGATATAACAATATCAACCAACATGCTCAACACATTTTCATCTCTCAAAAACTCCAACAACATTGGGTTATTAGATAAAAGCTCCTGTAGCAAGTCATTTTCATCCAATAACTTTATAAGCACGTCATGTTGTTCCTCTTCCGCCTTTTTCGTATCCATCGACAGGGCCTCATTCTGCTCTTGATTCAGATTGTAATTCTCAAGTAAGGTTGTAATATTCGAAAGGGATGTGAACCCATTGCTAAACTTCCAAAATGACCCCGACATGGCTTTATAATGCAAGCCAGTTTTGATTGTATTAATTTAAGTATTGACAATGGCGGTAATAGATGTTTGACTTTTTCAAATGTCCAGTGGGATATATGCAAAGTGAATCAACTATCCTAACTTTTTATATTTCAAATTTTGAAGCTCTAAAAACGTGTGTATATTCTAAACTTGCAATTTTAGTACAAATCCAATTGAGCCATATGCTGGTTTAGAATTGTTGGATGAATCCAGCTAGTGTTGTCAAGACAGGAAAATCGATTTCTCTAATGAAAGACTTGGGTAAATAATAAAGTCAAAATACCAAAAAAACAAGGCGAAACAAAACAAAACAAAGTAAGTGTTCCCGATATACTACCTTCAGTGTCCTTTGTGTTTTGGCTTATGCTAGAATAAGTTTGTAATTGTATGTCGACAACGTAATATCGCCTGTTGCCCTTTCTTGATGATGAATGATTAATTTGCGTTTCGGCAGAGAAAGCTTTTTCTTTTTTGTTTTTTTTTTTTTTTTCCCTTTCGACTTTTGAAAAAAAAAAGAATAAAAAAATTTTCTTTTCTTTTGACACAACAACAACAACAACCGCAACAACAACAACAACAACAACAACAGTTGTTTAATACAAATGATGATCAAACGACAATGGCTTGTCTTTGTAGTTACAGCTTAGGAAAAGTATAGACATGACTATCAGGCCTACAGTAACACATCTCTTTAAGATATACCACCATAGCTCTATGGGGACAACCTTACAGCGTAATCCTTTATTTTTCTAACTAATTGGTAGCACATCAACTTTGGTTGAGGAATTTTCTCTTTGGCGGATAAAAATTTTCCACTCACACAACCAAAGGCTTCCAAAGATTGAACTCTCTGCGCTAACTAATCATGTCACTCCTATTCAGTCGAACCATTAGGATGGTACGACCTACTTGCTATAGTTCCATCACCAGGTTTCAAAGTACAATCGCTGCCACGAGCAAAGTCACATCACAAGCGAACACACTAACGAAATCGTTTGCAAAACCTCAGGACGATCTTCACAAGCATATATCAGCACTTAAGCTCTCATCCAACGGATCAAGGGATTTATACGCAATTATGCGATTATACAATATGCCATATCTAGTGACAAAGGGGGATAAAATATACTTACCATACAAGATGAAGAATGTCAAAGTTGGTGATGTTTTAAACTTGAATGATGTGACAACATTGGGCTCTACAAACTACACTTTGAATATTAGCACTGGCATTGATCCTTCTATCTACGAGCTACAAGCAAGCGTTGTTGAGATAACAAGAGAACCTCTTTATCAAGTTGTGAAAAAGAAACCAAGATGTAGAAGAACAAAGACATTCAACGTTGAGCCATTCCAAACCGTATTGAGGATTAACGAGCTAAAGTTAAAGTAAAACAGCATATGTACATATAGATAAATAAACAAAAATGTCCCATTACGAAGGATATACTTTGCTATTGAACTTGATAAGTCTGCCCAACTCTGTCGATTCGAAATTAAACTCTCTCGTGGTGGTGACAAATGGGTCATTTAGCAACTCTTCTGCAGTTGGTCTTAAAGCAGGATCTATGGCAAAACATCTGTTGATAAAATTTTCAGCCTCTTTGCTGACCAAATGAGCGATGTCTTTAGGAATTGGTGGCGCTTTCTTTTCCTTGCCCGCTTTATAAATGACACTGATTGCCGCTTCGTTTGACCACGGCCGTTTTCCGGCAAACATTTCTAAAACAACACACCCCAAGGACCATATATCAACTTTGGCACTATAACCCTCCACCATGTTATCAATAACCTCGGGTGCCATCCAAAAAATAGTTCCTTTCATAGACATGTTGGCATTACTGTAGATGTCGTTATTTTTGCGAGATATACCAAAATCAGATATCTTGCAAGTACCATCAATATCCAACAACAAATTGTCAGCCTTCAAGTCTCGGTGAATGATGTTATTCGAGTGTAGATACTCCAAGCCTAGCAAAACCTGTTTGGTGATTATTCTGATCAAAGTTTCATCAAATTTACCATACGATTTGAGACACATAGCAATAGAACCTCCGGCAACATACTCCAAAAATAAACTGTACGTCTTGTCCTTTCTCTCATAGCCGAGGTACTGAACAATATGCTTGTGGTCTAAATCCTTCATAGTCTCAACCTCCTTATGCAACGCCAGTATACCTTCAAGATCAAGTTTATTGCTTCTAACTACTTGCTTTACCGCGAGCATCTCTCCAGTGGTCACATTCAAGCCCAAGTACACATCACCAAAGGAGCCTCGTCCTATCAATTCACCTTTAATCCAAGCAAATTCCTGATAGTGACCATCTTTATTCTGAAACTTGTTTACAACTCCACGTTCAATCTCACTGCTTGTAACCTCAAACACTTTTTGTCCCCACATCTTGGTGTTTGATCTCGCCAACTTTTTACTATTCTCTCGCGAGATGTTGGCAAACGTAATTGGCGGCGATTGCTGCTTCCGCCTTAAAGCTTTACGGCGTGCCTCATTGGCCACACCTCTAATAGTCTTCATTCTTCGGATCCGTTGGCTATTATTCGCCGACTCTGCTTGCTGAGGATTCACGGGAGAAATATTGGCATTAGAAAAAGTACGCGAAATCGAAGGCTTCTTTTCCTTTATAGGCTGCACCGGCAATTCATCATCGATTATTGGTTTGTCAAGATTTGTATGAGGAAAGTATTTTTCCAAATTGTCATACAACTCCTCTACTGGGGGTCGAACAGTCATCTGTAGCGTCTTTTGTGCCATTGGCTTTACAAAAAAATCACTTTCAGAGTCAGTGCCTGAACGCGTTGATGCTGAATAGCTGAGATCAATTGACTGATCAGTTGAAACGTCTATCCTGTTCATTGGCTTAACAAAAAAATCATCGTCACTATCCCCATTGGAATCTCGACTAGCGAAAGAGCCAGTGGGCGAGTGCATGCTTTGAATGTTAAACAAAGCAGGATGCTGCCTTTGTATTTGAGTACGGCGATCGACTGGAGGGGGAGGGGCTGCTCTTCGTGCCTTTATTGAATCTGTTGTCCTTAAATCACTTCTCTGGCTAGTACTTTTCTTCAATTTCGAATCCTTCGGATCATCCCTTAATGCCATTACAGTGGTTGCTGAAATAGGTGAACTCTTGAAATCTGATAGCGATGATTCATATATGTTGGCAATTAGTTTCGGTGCTTTCTTTTCGAAAGGTGATTTTCGCCTTTCATCAAAATTGATTTCATTGCCAGCTTTCCTAATCACTTTAAAGGAAGACCCTGCAGACTCAGGAGACAATGAAGAGTTTCTCAGGCTAATGAAACCCGAAGTGTCAATTTGAAGCAAGGGTGTTTTTTTCTTACCATTAGCCAGGAAAGGGAATTTCAAGGGAAAGTTGTGATTGTGAGGCTTTTGTTGTCTTGGATGGTCAAAACTTCGGGTCAAATCATGTGGCAGAGGCTCAGGTTCACTAATTCGTATTGATATTGAAGCATCTGTTTGCGTCCCTTTTGAAACCTTTTTCGGATTCTCTGAAATCTTGGATAAATTAGTCTGCTCCTTGAAGTTCCAATAATCAACATTGGTGTTATTAAGGTTTTGCAATAAATACTGCGGGGTTGCTGGGTATGTTCTATACTCATCACTAGTTTCAAACGATTTAGAATCTGACGACACAGTTGACATAGTTTTCAAAGTGCCGCCTGGAGAGTCTATGCATTGCCTAATGACAAATTTCACCAACGAATCTTGCTGAAGAATTTTCGATATCAAAGTATCAGGCAAGGCATCTCCCTCAGTTGCGTTAAAGTCAGTCAAGTGTATGGTAATAGTGCCTATATCAACCATGCCCAAATGCAAGATCATCTTCAGCTTGACAGTTTGAATATCATACAGCTCATCATGGGAGACCGAAAACGGGACAAAAGATCTGTTGTCATTGCTAACCAAGATGGTCTTTGTAGCCTCTCGCAGAAAACTCTTGGGCATATAAATTGCGTCCAAAGGAGACGGTATCTCAGTGGATTTCTCAATCCTAAACGAGGGCACCGAGCTCGCAGAATTTGCGCTATCAATTGATCTTCTTGTCATCTGTCTTGGGAGTGCCAAAGCAGACGATTCATTTTCATACTCCTGTACAGGCAGATGATTCGAGTACGACAGCACGGTGCTGTTTCGGTTGCTTGGTCGCCCTGTCGAAGCTTTCACAATCCCAACTGCTTTATCACCACCATATTTCCTAATTGTATTGAGAATTCCCCCACTTTTTTTAAAGTCCAACTTTGATTGCCTTTTGTTGTCGTCATACAATTGACTTTTTCTTTTTGCTTCACCTTCATTTGATCCACTTCTGTTTCGACGGAAAAACAGATGGGATCCTGCTGCTGGAAGTTGGTCCTTTTGTTTGATATCTATGTATGAGTTTGGCCTCTGCATCGAAGAAGCAGAGTTTGTGGAAGACATAGAGGAGCTTGACTTGTGTTTTGAAAACACTGGAGTTGATTTTCTGTGCTCATACTTGATGTTTGCCGGTAGTAAGTTGTTGTCCTTATCTCCCGATTCCTTTTTGGTTTCGCCTCGTAGAAGCTCAATGAACCTCTCGATCGAATTTAGATTAGAATCAAGCTTCAAGTACTTTGAAAATTGTTTCCAAATCATCGAATTTTTGTCAAAATTTTCCAATTCCAAGAACCGGTTTCCCGAAATCTCATTATTTTTAAATGTGTCTTGCCATGAGCTATTGAATTGATGGTCCTTTAACCACTTTAGTACACTATCGATATCCCATTTTTTAGACGCATTGACAGAGTGTGCTTGCGTATTCATTGCGTATCTGACAAATCTCTTGTTCTTATTTTGTTGTTCATTTGAAGACTGGTTTGACAATGTGGAGGTATCGGAGTCTTGTCGACGATGAGACAGAGTTGAACGACTATCCAGACCAACTCGTGTATGTGACTCACTTGAAATTTGCTTTATCAATTCAGGGGTTGTAGACTTTCTTCCCAGATTCAAGGAGCTTTTACTGTAATTGTAGCTCCCTATAATGGATCCTATGGCATTTGATGTGAGACTATTTGTGAAAGACTTTGAAGGAGACGACGATTCGCCCCTTTTTCCCGCTTCTGCTTCAGGTGATTCTGGAACGGGACTTATAGTATTCAATTCCAGGGTAGGATAGGGTAGCTTGTGTTCATTCCTTACACTAGCTCCAAATTCTTGACTTGCAGCACCTTGAAAGGACTGGCTACCTCCTGAACTGAGCCCCGAGTCAAGGCTTGCTCTCTCGGATGACAACTCCAGAGATTGGTATTGCTTTTGAGGAGGTTGATAATATGATAGGTCTTCATACTTGTCGTATATTACTGAATCGGAGGCCATCCTTGGTTGCAGAGACCGTAGTCGCAATGAATCCTGATTCGTGTGGTACTGCGTATATTGAGAAGCGGGAATTTTAACCCGCTGCGAATCGTAGCTAGCGGACCTTCTTTTGTCAATACGGCCTTTGCCCGCAGGGTTCTGTAAACTGGAATATGGATGCACTTTGGATATATATTGTCTTGATGGAAAGAAGTCAGCCTTTCCAGTGTTCTAAATTTAGAGACACATACACACACACACAAAAAAAAAACGTAAATAAACAATCAAAGTAACACTTTTGATAGCAGCACACATGAAGAGATTGTTGCAACATGGAATACAAAGAGGCCATACACGGCATCCTAAAGGAATTGAAACATCTTCAAGAGTATGATGTTGGCAACCCTGCCGAGTATGAAAACATGGCAAAGTCGGCCATCAACCGCTTGAAAAAGTTTTTGGCGCTAGATGGAGAGGATCAGATCTTGAGCTTATGGACGAATATTGAAACAATTGGTTATCATAGTGTAACTTATCGCGGTACAGCAACATCCCATGAAATTGATTTTTCCAACGTTTCTAACCACCTTAAGTCTGGCAGCGACAATGAATACTTTCTCCGAGAGGTACTCAAAATGCTTTCAGACCCTGCCAATCCTTTAAGAATAAAATCAGCCTATCAATCGATAGTAGAGAAGTTAGCCACATTCTTGCGCTTTGTGGTTAGTGCGAGGAGTGATGCAGAACATAAACTCAAAGACTATATTTGCTCTTGTCTTTTATACGATATGAACTTTTACAAGGATCTCATTAACGAGGACAATTTGGAAGGCACTCAGATGCTAGCGGATATTGTGGAATCACATGCTAATGATGATGAAAATGATTCAGTATTTAGCACTAACAAATTTACCGACATCTACCACACACTTCAACTTGGCTCAAACAGCCCGTCATTTTTGGCAATATATCGTCTTCTATTACCAATTTTAGTAACACGTCCGACGGTGAGTGTATGGAAAGTCTCCTGCTCAATAGTAGATGTGTTTAAGAAGCATCAGCATGTGAGTTACTTTGAGAGTAGTGATAAAGAGATAGACATATCGTCTTTACTTCCAAACACGCACCAGGAACTAAATCGTAAATACATCCTGGATTCAGTGGACAATCAACGTGGTACAGATGAAAATGCACCTACCGACCCAATTGCAGTATTCCCAGACCTCGTTCGAGTTATTGTCGACCTCAAGGATTTGAACAAAGACGTTAATCCTGAATTTCCCCGCCTTTTTAAACATTATCTTGAGTTTTTAGACCAATGTTTACCTATGGCAACCAAAGAGGACTACGAGTATATTGAAGAAGTACCTTCGGCTGTGTATTCTATATTAGAATTGGAGTCTGTCACCGACTTAAGAAGCGTGCTAGAAAGGTTTATTTTTCTACAGTCGTTGCTTCTGTGTGATAATCCTTCTTCGTCTGTGACATTACTCATGCGTGCTAGTTGTTTTGATTTTGAGAGACTACGTGACTTGGAAGAGCAAACGTATCAAGTTTGGGTAAGCAGATTGAGAAGAACAAGAGATCTTGAAAAACTTCATTTGAAGAGGGATAAAAGAGCACTGCTACTTTCAAAATGGAGATTGGGTACAAAAAAGAGAGAGTTGCGTGACCGAGTCACTGCGCACCACTACAACGAGAAGCTTCAATTGATGACTATAAGGAAATTAAAAGTTGCCTTACGGAGCACGAGAGAGTTGGAGTTGAAGGCAAGGCAGTTGAGTATGAATCGTTATCTCAGCAAATGGTTTCATAAATTTCATCTGATAGAGGAAAACTCTGCAAATGCCGAGGCACATTATGCAAAAAATCTAGCAAGAAAAGCTATAAATGGGTGGGGCGAGAACACCAACCACGCTCTAGTTAAAGACTTCGATTTAGAGGGCATGTGCAACGATTTTATTGAGTCATGTCGTCAGTCACTACTGAGACGAATCTTTGCCTCTTGGTATGGAAGATTGGGCGTTGAGCGTGGGATGATTGATTTGTTTTCCAAGTTGGACAAGTTCCAAGCGACAAGGAATCAATTTGTGGTTGAAATTTGGTTTCGAAAGTGGCAGCAATCTATACAAGTCCTTTTCAACCTCAAAAACTTTAAGTACATACTGGACCGCCGTGTGGTTCGCATTGTATTTAACAGTTGGCGATGTAGCTTGCAACTAGATGATCGGGCGCAACGCATAATCCATGATCGTAACATTGCAAAGATGATGGACATTTTCCTGAAGTGGAAATTGAACTCAAATCGAGCCCAAGAAAGTCGACCATTTCGCGATCAAAAACTCATACAGCGCTACTTTAAGATATGGAGATTGAAAAGGAAAGCAAATATTTTCACTGCCTCGCGTCATATGCATACATTGAGTGATGCTTTGCGGAATTTGAGGATCCAGTCTATAGAGAGGCACTTTCGCAACGAAACAAACAGAAGGTTGGTGGTTTTGATATATTTCCACTGGAAGGAGAAATTTAAAGCATCTGTAATGCAAGATGTTAAATCGATCGCTTTTAATGACCAACTTTTGAGAAAGTTTGTTTTAAGCACCTGGAAGTATTCGTTGGGTACCATTGATAGAATGGAGCTTCAAGCTAAAAGTTTAGCTACGAGAAAGTTTCTTACCAAATGGAGGAACCGTTATTATAACTGGAAGCAAGAGGTTGAAAATGTCAGAGTTTTTAACAGGGCTGCTCTCAAACATGCCATGTCCATTTGGAAAGATAAATATGATGATGCATTAGAGGGCAGGCTAGCTACTCGCATACAGTATATGACAGATTACTCAAACTTGCTATTAAAGCTGAGCTATTTCACCGACTGGAGAGAACAATTTATATACCAAATGGAGTTGCAAAGTGTCGCTTTTTCGTTCACACCAGGCCAGGCAACGTTTTTATCCCACTGGATGCGGCGAACTGAGGAGGTGCAGGAGTTGAACGAACGTGTTTCTATTTACGAGGAAGGTTTGGCTCAACGATTCCTTTCTCGATGGTGGTCGCGATATGAGCAGATTGAAACCATGAATGAACAAGGAGAGAACCAACTTGCTGAGCAAAATTTTGCAACTTTGAGAGAAATTACACGCGAGTGGATTTTCAAGTTTAACAAAAACATAAAACGGCATTATCAGTTATCAAAGACTTTTCAAGAACGCGTTGACAAGCGATTAGTTAGAAATGTGATGCACTTGTGGTTGCAAAAGCGTAGATACCGTCTAGAAGAAGAATATGGAGAAGAAGGAGAAGAGGAGGAGTTTGCAAATGAAACCTATGTCAGCAATTCTTCGCCCCTTGCAAGCAGAACCCACCAGCAGAGACAGCAAAAAGAAAAAGAAGAACGCGCCGTGCCTACACCCTGGAAACAGTTTTCACCAAGCAAAATATCCACGCCACGCTCAAAAGTCCCCAGTCCTTCGAAATTACAGGAAACGTCACAGCGAATGCGGGAGCAACAAATTTCTCAACTTCGAGAAAGATTTAGCAGGGCAAAGCTATCACCACGCCATAAATTGAGCAGACCCATTTCCCCAGTTAAGCTAAACTATAATGTGGATCTATCGCCACCAAAGAGTGAAAAATTTTCTGATCTTGGCCACGAATCCCTTAGTCCAAATACATCCAATTCATCTAGCCCAACAGGAATTCAGTCGCAGTTGAATTATGTGAATGGATCATCATCAATTATATCCACAGCCAAGAGGATGGGGCGAATTAAACCAATAGCATTTCCTACAGGAGAGGAAAATGATGTCCGGCTTTCACCGGCAAGCAAGGTGAAGAGAGAATCTAGAATTTTAATAGAATGAATAATGATATATGGATAATTAAGAATGGTCTTGAGCACGCTGCTCTTGATGATTTGGCTCGACCCTCTTGTACACATGTACATAGTCTCCCAAAGCAATAGTAGATCGTAATAGATTCCTCAAAGTTTCGTTCGAACCGTTGATGAAGTCGTCAACAACAATTTTCAAAAACACAAGCAATGTAGAACGATCAGCTTTTTGTGCTTGTAGTAACTTCAACACAGTTGTGAGATCTAAATTTTTGAATATCTTTGCTGTGTGGATGAGTTCCCAATCTTTTAATGTATCTTTGGTGATAACTAGATCAAACTTGTTGTAGTCAATGCTGGACTCTGACTTATCGTATTCGATCTCTTTGCTATGTAATTCACCAAAACGAGTTACCCCAGTCATACAAGATGGAACGTCAATATGAACAGATACATTATGACCATTGTAGTTATCAGAAATGTATTCATTAGCAATCTTCAAGGCTTCTCCACCGGGATAGTTGAAGCTAGATATGTACCCCATATGAAGAGAAAGCAAAGTACTAGTCAAGATCAAGAAGGCGACAATTAAAGTCAATAACTTGTTTGAAAAACCAAGGCTCCACTTTATCGAGATATTGCTCAACCCATTGGCAGCTTGCAACGTGAAAACTGGTACAGTATAAATAATGAATCGCCACTCTTTATGTGGCTGGATGGACATAATGGCAATAAAGATGATTGACGATGTGTACAAGATACGCAACGAGTTTCTTGCAGGATGACGAACAGCTTTGGTGTCTGCCATAGAAACTCCATCATCAGCAGGGTCATTCAAGAATCCAACGATAGACAAGATGAGAATGACCGGTGGCCTAAACAATTTGAAAAGATATTTGTTGAAATAGGCTCCCCATGGTTCAACACCCCATTCAGCCGAGTGACCATTGACAATATTAAAGACAAACGAACTAATTTCAGGAACAAGTGGTGTGCCCCAAAAATAGGAGTCAATAAACAATGAAGCCAAGGCACCAAATAATGCACCGGCGAATAGGAGTACCGAATTTGTAACAATGTTTGACTGTCCAAACCCCAAGGAAGAAACTAATGCTATAACCACAGCAAACACCCCCACTTCCATCCTGAATATGGTACCAGTCATTGCCAACCATGTCAATCCCGATACACCACCCGCAATCAATTTGCTCAATGCGAAGTTTACAAATGGCAAAGCTATGAAATTCGGTAACGTACGTGACGAGTAATAAATCAAGTGAAACTGCGATAACAACAAAACAGAGTACCAAAACCCGGCCAACCCTTTAACTTTGCTTTTTCTATCCCTAAAAGTAACCTTGTTCAATTGATCTCTGAGTCTAATTAGTGACAATGCGTTTGCAAGACCTAAGATACCACGAACAACGCTCTGGAGCTGATTCTGCTCCCCTTTCAATAAATCTTGACCAAATAGGGAAGATATAAATATCACCGGCTTGGCCAATAGAGCAAGTACCAAGCTGCCTATGAAAGTCCGCGGCACAGCTCCCGGAAATTGTTTGTGATCATACTGTTCAATAGATTCGGTAGAAAATGCACCATAATTGAGAATATCGTGGATGGCCTGAATATTGAAAGACTCTTCTACCTTGGTATACGGTGCGATAACAAGATGATAAGTCACCAATGCTATCAATGCAGCATCTAGTACTTTGTTGAATTGCTTCATTGGGTGAACATTTGGATGTCAATCTGGAAATTTTTCCGTTGCCTCGAAAAGATAAAATTCGTGCCGTACGAATGATTTTCCCTGGTAACAGAAATGGAAGAGGATATTCCCCAGTTGGTGGTAGATCTACCGAAGAATGGAGTAATTGAAACGGAAAAAGTAACGACAGAGCCCATATCAAAGATAAACCTGACGACAGTTTCGTCAACTAAAAAGATTCCCATAACGATAGTCACTGGCTATCTTGGATCAGGCAAATCCACCTTACTTCAAAAAATCGGCGAAAAGTCAAACAAGAGATTGGCTATTATATTGAATGAGTTTGGAGACTCATCAGTGATTGAAAAGTCGGTTACTATACAAGACCAAAGCGAGAGTGTTCAGGAATGGCTTGACATTGGTAACGGTTGTTTATGCTGTACAGTAAAAGATAATGGTGTTACAGCTATTGAAAACTTGGTGGAACACTCAAGAGACAAGATTGATTACATCTTGTTAGAAACGACAGGTGTTGCTGATCCTGCACCCATTGCCAAGATGTTCTGGCTTGATGAAGGGCTAGCTTCGAATATATATATCGATGGCGTTATAACTGTCGTTGATTCGGAAAACATCCTTACATGCTTGAACGATGTAGGTGGACACTGGCATAAGGCACACGATTTGGAACAGCTAGAAGAGGGTGTCACAACAGCACATCTACAGGTTGCATTGGCCGATGTGATTTTACTAAATAAATCCGACAAGGTTGATGATACAACGGAGATTATATCCCGGTTAAAAAGTATAAACCAGACGGCGCCAATTTACCCCACGAGTTTTGGCGATATCGATCTTGACAAAATTTTGGACTTGCATGCATTTGAAGCAAATGCTAGACTATCAGCCTCCAGTGCTTCGTTCCACGATGGGAGAATAACGACAATCGCAATAGATTTCCCCTTTTTCAAAGATGAAAGTGGATTCGACAAAATTGAGAAATTTCTTCAATATATCCTATGGGAGAACAAAGTCAATGCGAAAATGGTGGAGGTGCATCGTTTAAAGGGAGTGTTGGTTCATGAAGATGATGTCAGAGTCGTTCAAGGAGTGAGAGAGACCTATGAGATTATTGAACATGGAAAGCTATTAGATGAAATAAAACAAAACAAGCTAGTCTTTATTGGTAAAGATTTAAACTACGACGATTTAATGATAGAGTTAAATAGGTTTATATAAGCTCAAAGTCAATTGCCAATTGGTACAAAATACACCTCTTTGTTAAAGAAAACTTTTTTTTTTCCTTTTTTTTCCTTTTTCTTTTCAGGCGCAAAACATATCGACAGCCATCAGAATCATTACTCTGAGGCCATACCCTGAGATCTTAGTCTACCCACAATGAGTGAAGCTAAACCCGATCCACCACAGCCGGATGTCAAACCAGAGGTCAAGCCAGCTCCACCCAAAAAGAAAGGGTTCTCCAATCCGGCATTACGTATGATGGGAATCCCCCGAATTTCGCTTCCATCACGTAACTGGCTCATCTTTTGGTCAGTTCTTGTTGGAATCGGTTCTTCAATAGCGTACGACAAATATGAACAGAAACAGATACGTAAGAAATGGATGGCTAGTGTCTCTCAATTGGGAGAAGAAGTGTACACTAATGATAGAATACCCCGGAAATTGACAATCTATATTGCCCCACCGCCAAACGATTTTCTTGATGAGTCGTTGAGAATTTTCCGCAAGTTTATCAAACCGGTTTTGAATGCAGGATCTGTCGATTTTGAAATCTTTAGTGAGAGCAGACAGGGCGATATTCGATCTAGTGTGGCACAGAAGATCAGAGATTTGAGAATGAAGGAAGCAGAGAAAGCAAAACCACAAACTGACGAAACTAAAACCAAGAATTCAGACGAGGAGGTGGAATATGTTAAACGGACAGACTTGTACAAACCAGGTGATGTGCTTGGGTTGTACAAAATTTTCCCACAAAAGATTGACGTTGTCTCTGACGACACCAACAAGGAAGTTGCCGGTGGTATTGTATGCATTGGAAGAGGTGCTTTCAAAGAATATATTAGTGGAGTACACGAAGGTTTGCTTGGCCCATTGCAAAAACCACAAGCAGTTGCCGACGAAGAGGCCCGTAGAGCTGAAGCAAAAGCTAAGGACAAAGAGGAAAACCCTAGCAAGTACAGTGACGAAGATGACGAAGATAATGACAATTTGAAACCAGTACCGATGAAGTTTATAAACTCTGCCGATTATGCTAATGCACCACTTGCGCCTGAACTCAATATGGATACCGTGCTTAAAGACGATAAGGGCATTCCTTTATTCTTTGAACAGCCTGTCTATGTATACCCGGTGCCCACCATCCAGGGGTTCAAAAATGTACCTCGCAAAATATATCGATTCTTGACAAAGAGGCTATTTGCTGATGACTATGGAGAAAGAACTATACATGTTGTGAATAAAGACACGAGACCTTTCAAAGAAAAGGATATTTTGATGGCCAAAGAGGAGGAAGTTGACTGGCCACCAAATTGGGTCAAAACGGGTACTGAAAAGGGATCTGAATGGGTCCAAGAGTTGGCATTTGATGATAGAGTTATTTCAAGAATGAGAGTTTTTGATGACAAAAAGCAGTAGCGACAAGGCAAACCATGTATATATATATATATCTACGTCTATTGTTTCAGCCATAATGTGTAGTTGTAACTAAACTTGTTTTCTTGTATATCGTCATCAATGGCTTCTTCTCCCGTGAATTCAATTAAGTCCGATTTAGACAGTTTAATCCATTGATCGGCATCAAATTTCAAAAACGTATCCATTTCAAGCTGTTCCTCCTCGGTATTTTCAATCTCGGTCAACAAAACATTATCCACTAATCCACTTTTAATAAACTCATTGTATATCTCAGCACCACCAATGACATACACTCGCTCAATGTTCTTGTCTTTTATAAGTCGTAACGAATCTTGAACCGACTTTGCATGCAATACGTCATCGTCAATTATTTTATTCTCAAACGATCGGGATAATATGACATTTAGCCTATTAGGCAAAGGTCTGAACTTGGACGGTATAGATTCCCAAGTTTTCCTCCCCATAATTACCGCGTTTCTTAACGATGGATCAACCGTACGCGTCGTGACCCGTCTGAAATAGGCCATCTCTTTACGTAATCGCCAAGGAAGACTACCCTTATATCCTATCCCATACAAAGGTTTAAGTGCAGCAACGATAATGGTTACTACTGGCTGCGACATGCTGAGAATGGCTGTCCTATGGTTTGTAGAAGTAGGATCCAACTGGAAAGCTAAAGAAAAAACAAAAGAAAAAAAAAAACAAAAGGTCTGTTTTGGGAGCGCTTTTTTGGCGAACGCCTCGCCCGCCGATTATCCTTCTGCCTCAACGTGAATACCTTCCTACCACTGTCAAATTGTCGCTATACTAAACTCTAGCACTAGCTCTTAGCATAAATAGAAACCCTTCTAATTTAGAGATATTACTTCGTTGACATTATTTGCTTACACTTTTGGCCAACAACTGGCTTTCTCAAACACAAAATTTAAGATTTAAAAAAACAAGAAACGTCAAGATATTTAAAACAAAGTTAAGAATAAAACAAGCACCATTCGACTGAATTGAAACTAAAAGAAAGAAATGTAATTGTTTGATGTGGTCCTCACAAAAAGCACACTAACAAATAAATTCTTATTTCTTAGCGACCTTAGCCTTCTTTGGGGCAGCAGCCTTGGTCTTTTTAGCAGCAGGCTTGGCTGCTGTGGTTGCCTTTTTGGTGGTAGCTTTCTTAGTAGTGGTAGCCTTGGTAGGGGTAGCCTTGGTAGGGGTCTTTTTAGTCACCTTCTTTGGTGCAGCAGCCTTCTTAGCTGGTTTCTTAACTTCCTTCTTTGCCTTGGTTTCCTTGATTGCAGCTGCCTTCTTGTTCAACTTAACTGGCCCTGAAGGTCCTTTTGGTTGGAGGAATTCACCGAGGTCAACTCCCTTTTTCAAAGCGCTGTTGAACAAGGAGTCGAAGTTGTTTCCTTTGATATCGTTGTTGCTTTGAACGTACTTCTTAAGAGCTTGACGGCTAAGGACGAGGTTAGTACTGCTCACTTTATAAATTGCAGATAACTGTAGCATTTTACATACGATGATCCATTTCTTTCCTTCAAAGTGGAGATAGCCTCCTTGATCATAACTATAAAACATTGTTAGTATCATGACTAAAGATGTTTGCTTCGATTCGACTAGTAGTCAATTATATGGTTCATGAACAATTGGGTTTCAGCGTCTGGGCAATGGGATAGAACAAAACCAAAACAAATGACCCCGAGGAGAGAAAAAAAATAGCCAGTCGAAACTCGAAAAGGGTGACAACATACCTTTGTAAGATTTTGCGTTTGAAGCTGAAGATGCAGTTGCTGCGGTAGCCATTATTGATATTGTAGTAGTGATTGTAGTGTTAGTGAATACGAGAAAGAAAGAAGGAAAGAAAGAAGGAAAGGTATATCTAACGGCTAAAAAAATCAAATATTGAAATTGTGGGAATTTGTAATTTGTCTCTCCTTTCTTCTTCAATGAAGTCACAACAGAAAACAAAGACAAAATCACAACATCAAAATCACAACAACAACAACAGAAAACAAAAATAAAAACAAACACAAACGCAAACACAAACACAAAATATAAATTATGAATGACACAAAATATAAATTACAGAAGATTATAACCCTCTTTGTCGTTGATTCTAAAGCTGCGACATTGGCTGGTATACGACACTTTGATTCAAAACAAAATTGTGAAACAATGTCATTTTTATTACAATGCGATATTGTCTCAAGAATCACACGACACTATGTTTATGAGCCACACTTTTATCTAGAGTGTCAATGTCTGTTCAATTCTATATACTATCTATTTTACAAGACTCCACTAACTCAACCCTCACGCCTGCTTAAACAACGAGACTCCACTCCATGCTTTCTGTCTCTCAGGGACAGACTTCTTCCTCGGTCCAAGTATGACTTTCATTGTCCAACTCATAAACAAATCTCTTGTCTTTATCCTGCTCATAATAATCAACATAGTTTACAAATAAGGTCCCTATTGCAAAATTCTTGTATCCATCTTCTTCCTTTTTCCCATCAACACCTCGTTGTATCTTACTAATCAACTTGGCCTTTTCTTCAGTCAACAATGACTTTGGCTCGGGTTTCCTGAATGTTGTCTTTAATCCTTTAGATAACCCATTCCACTGTCTATCTAACTCTTGTTGCCACTCTTCTGCTGTTGGCGGCGTATACTGACCCGCCGTTAGGTCATCCTGTGTACTATCTTTTTCAACAAATGATGGAGATAACAATGACGTTTGAAGTGGTTGCTTTTGAACACGAGATAGGGTGGAAGCAGCAGCAGCAGCAGCAGCAGCAGGACCATCACCGTTAGAATTGGGCTCAATAGGAACCACTTCACCGCTATTTATATGATTCAAATCGATACTAGGTTGATGCTCAGAGTCAAGCAACCGTACATTCCCCCTGAATCTAATTTGTTTTCGAATATGACTAAACCAGAACACTGCCTCTACTTTATCGTTGTCCAACAACTCTTGATACTTTTCCATTCTCTTGTCGGTGGTGAATGTAATTACATTGGATGATTTATTATTAAATAGCCAACCTCGGTATATTAATGTCCTATTTTGTGGATATCCTGTCTTGGAGTCTATAGTTGCCAATTGGAAAGTAGTGAATGGTGGGTTATTGTCAGTTGCTGCTAGTTCGTTACTAACACAGTTGTTGAGTATTGGCACCCATGGCGCTTGAAAATTGAATTGAACCATTGATTGGGGTCAGTAATTGTCGCAAGGAGTGGATTATGCGTCTCAGTCGAATGGAAAATGCTGATGGTATGCTATTATTCAAGTTGCAATCTATGGATATCCTTTCGGAAGTAATGCTGGGAGTGATATTGTCTTGACTATTTTCTAATTATGGATTAAAGCTGTGAAACAGTTGAAGTTTCTTTGAGTAAATTGTCAAATGTTTAAATGTTCTGGCCAACTTATAAACCCAATAGTTCAAAGTATTCGTAATAATAAACAGTAAGTGAGTAAGAGGGTAAGTGAGTATATATATATATATATATCTATCCTTACCTGCCAACTTTTACAAATGTCGTATGAGCATTAATTTTTTTTTTAAAAATTGTTGCATCTATATTGTAATTGTAATATTAAGAGACAGAAGTGAAGAGAAAATTTAACGAAATTCAGCAATTCCGATAATTTGCGAAAAACTAAAAAAAAAACCAAAATTGACCCACGTGTGTAGGTTGAATACCCTAACTTTGGGGTTTGGAATCAAATAGAGAACTGAGCTTACTCGGAATTCTGCAACGGGTGGATGAGAGGTGGCACCACCAGCGGCAAAAACATGAGTGCAACGAGACAAACCTTTTCTTACAATCAGATCACCTTCCCATCGCCTCTTCATACTTGACATTGGGTCAAATTTCTTGTCGAATCTTTTTTTTTTTCTTTCTACACACACTCCCCCGGCCGACCCTCATCTCCGCTCGGCCAAGATTTAGCCGCCTTGAGACGTAACTCCGAGACATCGGACTTTGCAAATAACCTCAACAAAAAAACAGCATAGTATTAAACTGCTTCACAAGTGAGATCTATATATGTAGCGATTTTTCCATGCCTCAACTTTATTTCATGAGTCCCCCATACCACTGAACCTGGAGGTCGATTTTTTGCAACTAATGGGGCACGAAAGAAAAAAAAGAAAAACTAACAGAAGTTGAAATTATCTCCAATGACAAACTCAGCATCGTTAAGAGATGCCACAAGGACATCTCATTAAACTTTCTTCAGAAAATGATCTGTCCACACTTGATAGATTCATTCGCAAGCATCCGTACTACACGACTGTACGCCTCATCATCAATTCATCGAAACAGTTTACTCCAAAACCCTATCTTCGGGAAGTATCAACCACGAACGACTTGATGGGTCTAATGCGACAGAAAAAGAATGCTTACAGGTCCTACGTTGAAGCAATCCCCCTAGACCAAGTTGACTTAAACCCCACATTTCAAAACAAGTTGCAATTCAACGGATACACCGGTGAGGCCATTATCCATCTTGACCAACCGTCGTATCAGAAACTACCCAATTTGCAGAAAGACCAAAGAGGTGGTCATTATATTTCTCCACACAACACCGTCAAGTACGCCAAAGTCAAGAAGCTAAGCAATGGCAAGGTTGGACATGGCAAAAACAGCTATTCTCGATACAGGTACAAAATCAGCATTAAATTCACACAACCCCAACTCGAATTCATTATCAAGACGTTATTCAACAACGTACAGGCTGAATCATACATATACGATCACGACTTGGACTTACCTGTTCCTCAATTCCATCAGGATGTTATAAACTTACCAACACTGCTTATTGAGCCTCGGGATGGTTTTAGTGAAGCCTTTAAGGAAATGATTACACTAGTTGCCAATTTCAACCCACAGCAGATTACAGATTGGCAAGAGGTTGAGACAGTGATACAAAAGCAGTATACTATGCACAATGTATATTGTGAATCGATCACGTCGGCAAAATGGGATGCTCTTTTGCTTGAAACTAAAGACTCACATGCAGTTATTCTAAGAGAGGAAATAGGGGCGCTTGTTTCTGAAGAAAAGAATGAGCTGGATTGATAGAATGTAATAAATACTGGAGGGGGGGGGGAGGGAGTGAAATTGAACTCACGTGTCTCTGCATTCGTATGCACAGGTGGTTTCTTCATCGAAACTGAGGTTTGTTCGATAGCAATGCAGTATTCAGCGACCCATCCTTGCATGAGAGAGGCATTATATTGTTGTTATACCAGTACATACAGGTTAAGGGGATACGAGATTGCATTGGCTTGCCAACACACATCATACTCATCAATTGAAATACAGACTACACGCTTTCAATATATAAATAAAATTTACCCTTATATTTCAATTCACATATATACAAAAATATAAATATATACAAGATAGCTCCGAATTGAAAAATAGTTTATGTACACATGAAACACTCGTAATGAAAAAAAAAAAATTAACACACATTCAATCTCCACCAACACCACCAAAACTAGACAAAATCCTTAAATAATTCATCAATAGGGAAATTCTCAAACATCTCACCATGGTTCATTTCAAATGAGTTGAATCCCCCACCTCCAATGCCACCTCCTGTACCAGTACCAGGTCCGACTGAAACTCCAGCAGCCGAAAAACTGGCACCTGCAAGTCCGCCAAGAACACTAGGACTAAACCCACCACCACCACTGCCACCATCCATTTGATTAAGGAAAGAGGGGGTGGCGCCATACATCTGGCTCATGATCGGATCATACATTTTACCAGCAAGATCGTCATTATTCTTCATATTCATCATCTGTAACCAAATGCTATCAACCTGATCATTGGGCTTGTACTCACTATCAGATGTCGTTGATCCAGTCGAACTGACTGAATTTTCATGATTTCTTAAATTGACATTACCATTGATGAATGAATTGACATTGTTTTCCAATTCCTCTTCCATAGATATTTCATCACTCTGTTTCCTGCCACTAGCATCATTTAATTTGCGTTTCTTCTCCATCTTGTGCTGATTCTTACTTTGCTCCACTTTGCTCAACGAAATCTCTAAAAGCTGTTCCAATTGACTCAACATCTCAACATTAAGCGGTGTAGTGAACGTGGGCAGATAAGTTTCGAAAAATTTGTCATCCAACAGTTGCTTGAGGAAATTTTGTGCCTTTGTCACACGCCACGCGTAATAATACCTCTGCGATAGCCGGGCCACTCCATCACGGAAATGACCGATACATTTATCCATCAACTCGGCCAAATGCACCAATTTTTGAAAGTTGGTCTTGTATGCATAATCAGCAGTGTCATACAGTTTCATTCTCGTATTATGGTCATATCGCTTTTGCAAATCATGGATCCAGTACTTAAGCCTGAGGTAAAATGAGAACAACATAATCAAAGATTTATGAGCAACCGTGATGAAACTGGGGCTGGCAATCATGTCGGCTGAGTTTTTAAACACATTCTTTTTGTGTCTGATGCACTCGATAAAACAGGGCATAACCTCGTATGCAACAAGCACGATAATCTTTTTCATGTAGTAGTAGGCCAAGTCTAAATTCTTCTTCTTTTCGTAGTAGTTGAATATGTGGAAATGCATTGAAGCCATAAAAAAAGTACCAGAAAAGTATATCTTTAGCTTGAGTGTACTTGGCATTGTCTCATTTGTTCTATCGTTCACAGGACAATACAGCCTCGCCACATCAATGTATTGATCTTTGAAATAACATTCCATAAAATTTATGCGTTTTGCCAAATCCAGCATACTAACCTCACCTCTGACTTTAAATACTGTGGCAAACATTTCGCTCATTGGCTCGTAAACATAGTCAAAGCTGGGATAACATGAACATGCAATCCTTTCAACCTCGGAATCCTCGACATTTTCACAACCAGGCACATAGATAGGTGATTTAGTATCAAAGGAATTAAACTCAGCCGTTACCGTAGATCCAATAAGCATTGCATTGTTAAAGTCTAGAATCAACACATAGTACCAAATTTTCCTGGCCAAGTTGTTTTGTTTTCCATTCTTGAATGCATCAGGAAACAAATCGGGATCACGGTGAAGCCCTAGTGACCTTGCCATTTGAATCAATGTTGCATTGAACACTTGTGCATCGCCACCATCAACACCATCGCCAAGCTCTGGTGCATACAAATGATAGAGCCTCGTCATTAGGGCCAATTGCATGATTGTCATGTTTGCACATCTCATTATGTCGAATTGGTTCAAACACAGTTGTGCTACGTCAATAACGTCAATATTGATGGGATTATTCAACAAAAACTTGATCAGCTGGGCTCTTGGTTCCGGGTTTTTTGTTTGAAAGTTGATTTCATTGATTGACGAGTCGTGGGAGAATAGCGACGCGTAACTGAACCTAATCATAATCAACAATAAACCCAAATAGGCAAAGTCCAACTTCTTTTCAACTTTGACAGTAACCATGACATCTTGGTAGTCTTCTGGACCAATGAGCCTCTGTAGTTGCTCCTTCAAATCCGCTTCATCTACCAATGGCATGGCAACATATAAATGGGTAAAATATCTCTTGTACAACTTCCAAATAACATCTTGCTTTGGCAATACCAATCTAATCTTTTCTACCAATTCCAACTCCTCATCCAACCCGCCTTTGTAAAACGACAAGCCCAATGACTTGGCCTTCTCATTCAACTCTACTGGGTTAACAGCTTTTTTGAAGCCGGCCTTAACTTCGGTCTCTCTGAATAGTTTCACGTCATGCTCCCCATCGTCTTTGTAAGCCTTTTTGGAAAACTCCTTCTCGATTTCTGTTGAAGTCTCGCCCACCTCTGGGGTAATAAAATGGGAATCAGTCCGTAACTTATACTGTTTCTTTATTTGTTCAATTTGAGTCCAAATAGCAGCCACTGCATTGTCGACTTTCAACAACGTGACCCACGACAAAGGACCATAATGTTTTCTACTAACAGGCTCTTTGTTATATGTGGGGTTATAACCAGCAGAAAGGTTGATCCAGTCATTTTCGGATTCGATAGGATTGACGCCATATAGATCCATTGGATCAATCAGCAGTAAAACTGAATTGGATGGCGAATAGGCACTATTACTTCTACCATCGGGTGTTTGTTTGGTTAGCTGCGGCAGGGTATGTGTACTGGTGTTTTGTTGTGGCAACAGGAACTGCGATTGTGACCAATCTTGACCTTCAGTAGGCTTATATGGTTGCTGAGTATTCAAATGCTGTTCCAAGGACTGTAGTTTCAGTTTGAGAAATGTCAACTCATCCTGAACCGTGTCAATACTAGCACCACTTGGAGTCAATGGCTTGGACATGAATCCATTTGACTGCAACGGCTGTTCATTAGAAGATGACCTTGGTGTGAATATAGTGCTTGTGCCATCAATTATGTTGTCCTTTACATCGTCACTCTTTTGCATGTTGCTAAATTTTCTCTTCCTCGGTTCATAATCTTCAGCTTCTTCATTACCTAATAATTCTGAGTACACACAGGGACTTCTTTTATACTTTACGCACGTTGAGCAAGGATTTCCCAAATCACACTTGACCTTTCTCTTTTTGCAAAAATCACAAACTTTAGATACTCTTGCGCGTACCTTTCCCATGTCTAGACTCAATTGATTTTAATGTGTCACCTTGGGTTTTGAATAGGTCGTTAGCAGACACGCGTTGAAATAATAGGCAAAGATCAATCAATGTGCTAATATAGTTGTTTGGCTGTTTGGTTGTTATAAAGGGATTTGATGAGTTGAGGGGATATATATATATATATTGTTTCAATGAGTTCTGTCGTATGAATCACAAAACTGAATGAAAGCCAAACTAATTGTACGGTTTGGCTGTATGTGTATAGCTTGTGTGTTGTAATTTGCCTTCGTTTGTTAGTGATTTGAGGTTGTTTATATATATATATATATTTGAGATGTATTGAGTGTGACCCTTGTGAAATTCCAAAACCTCTTTGTTTTATTATTTTATTTTATTTTTATTTATCTTATTTTATTTATTTTATTATTTAGGTTTTAGTTTGCCACTTTGTGCTCTTCTTAGTCTCTTCCTTTTTCAAATTACGAAACTTTCACAATCAAATTGGAAGAAAGAAGTTGAAGGAGTTAAAGCAAGATTGGATAGATAACTAGTATTGTACCTCAATTGATGATTAGACTGCTCGATGTTTTGCAAAGGAAGCTCAAAATTTCAGTGTATCAAAACTGGAACACCGATGAAGGAAATATATATGTGTTATGCCTCGATGTACTCTGAAGTGGAATATCTATTTAAAGTGTAATTGTATAAATCCTGTACAGACACAATGATAATGAAATGTATGTCTATGCAATTGATTTGAGGCTTTCGGTTTGTGTATGTAGAATTGCAAATACAGGGGGGGATTTGTAGTTTATTTTATACTCAATTTGGTCTCTCAACAATAAACCAAAAAACCTTTAAATACCAAGCAAGGTCCATTGTCTACATTTGATAACAATAGGTTGTCGCTTGTGTATCTACTTCTAAGGAATAATACTCGATAGATAGAGACCTTTTAGACCTTTTACGATTCTAGTTCTCCGAGTCTTTCCTCTCTATTTTCAAACCCCGCCAACTGTAAACACTGCCCTGTGCAAATATATTATTGTTTATGCTAACACAACCCACACGGCGTTTTAAGTCAATTATGTGTGACCCAGGCCTTATTAAGATTAAACAATAGACTGTGACTTTTTTTTATTTTAGTAAACTTCTTCCATACGTACCAAAACCTTTTACACGTTTTTGGTTTTTCTTCTTTAAAAGAGTCTTAAAAAGAAACGAAACAGAACAAAAGCTAAAAAAATAATAAAAAACCCTATTGCTATAAACGATTGATTCGATAAAAGCATTTGCAGAAAAGCGGCTGTGCTTTAGCTGTTTTTGAATTCCTGTTACTCCATTGTTGATTGGAGAATAGTAAACAAAATAGTGAGACTGATTGGTGGGTGTGTGACTCATGGCAAAATAGGGCTCATTTTTGGTAAACAAAGAAGAAGGAAAAGGCTGGTAGGCCGTCACACAAAAAGTGCCATAGGTTCCGTTATCCCAGCCTTTGTTTAGTTCAATACGAAAGATATTGATAATTACATTGTGCCTCGCTAACAATGAGAGTGTATATACTATGAATATATGTAAGTATGTTGTTGACTGTGTGTCATTAAACAATTCAGACCGTGGTAGAGAGAACCTCGTACAAAAAAGAAAGAAAAAAAGAAAATACCAAAGTTTAAATTTTTCGAGGTGCATGCGTTAGGTTATACGGAGTTACGACCCAATTAGTAAATGTCCGATCTACTCCACTAAAGCAAAGAGTCCGATAGTACCGAGCGGTGTATGATTGAAAACCAATCACACTTTGATTCTTGAAGGGGTTAGAAGGTATTACCGTGTCGGTATAAGCCTTCAACGTCAAAAAGAGATGTGGCGCTCAAACCACTCTCTAAACTGTGAAGCAAACGCGTACCGTTTCTCCTTTCGTGCCTCTCATGCTATAAACTAAACTTAGTTCTGGATTCCTACTTTGCCCTTCAAAAGGTCATTCACCTTTTGTAAATGGTTTCCACAAAAGTAGATTGTCTCTGCTAACAAAGAAGAGTAGAACAATAGGATAGATTTTCCTCTTGTCACACAAAACTGATCGGAACGAATTCTGGTAACCGCTTAGGTAATACCGAAATTCTACGAAGAAAAATGTACAGCATTTTAGGAATTGTGTGGGGCATTGTCTACAAACCTTCCATTAAGCCAGGATACCATAGCAACATTGCCCTTGCTACTACACTTGTCGAACACAGTTGATACAAAGCAGAATGTGCTGTTCGTTTCTTTTCTGTAATAGAATACGTGGTATCAATGCCTGGTTCAAATGATACGTTTACGGAACAACATTAAACAATAAACAATAGAGAACTTTCCAAAACCATAATGAGTAAACAAATTCCGCTTTCAAAGCCACCACATGAACCACACTTTTTTTTTTGTTTTTGGTTACGTATCTGCTGCTTGTCCGTCAGCGATGTGCTCAATGTGCTTGAAACCAAGCTATAACCCAACTTCTGGCCCTGAAATAACGAAAGAGGATACACAGCAAGTAGTGACAATATTGGCAACTGGTAACGAGAAAAGCATTAGTAATCATGTCAATTATCAGAATGATGCAGGGTTAGTGACGTGTAAGTAAGTAAAGAAAAAATCGAAAATAATAGACAGTAAAAGCCGTTTTTCAGATAGCGGTTAACGGAGATTCATCTCCGACATTAAAAATATATTGCCCCTTGCAGCAAATAGTGACCAAGTCGCACTCTTTTTTACTAACGTTGATCATGGTTTTAAGCTGTTAACCACAGTTTCCTTTACTGCTTATTGATGCCTCGTACAACTAGCAAGGTTAATCTCAAGCCTTTGATTTTTCTCTTAGGTGTTAGGGGTATTTGCACCGCTTCACACGACCCAAGATAAGTAGGAGCACATGCAGATAGGGTTGGTGACTAATTTTAGTTTCAAAACAAAAAGAAAAAAAACATAAACAATAACAACAACATTGAAATGGTTATGATAATTGATGAAAAGTGAATCCATAGCTCTTGGATAAAGTTCTAGCTCTAAACGACTTTTCGAATTGTAATTTGTTTTGCCTACTTTGCAAGTGCCCACGTTTTCAAGTCAATGGGGGTCAATTGAGGCTACATCAGTCTCAAAGGATCCCACCCCAACAGTAAACTTGTACCATCTCAATTCTCAATTGCATAGAAACCAGAAAGACTCCTTCATGCAATGGCCCTGTTGTTTTTTTACCTTTCGCAAATTATCCCCTTTTCAGCAGACCTCATTGTTTTTCTCTCAGCTAACCATAGAATCCTAAAACAATAAGATAAAGTTTAAACGTAACTAATACTTGATTAATAATCAATATTCTAAAAATAGGGATTCATCCTACAATGGTTTAGGAAAAAGATTAACTTTCTGGACAGCGTACGTAGTCGTGGTTTTGTCGTTCAAATGAGTTGTTGCGTTCTCCTTTTGTTCTCGTTTAGAGGTAAAAGGAATTGGACGTATAGTTTGAACATAGTTTCGGTAAAAGGATTTTCATACGTTTGATGATATTTAGAGAAACTAATTTGTCCGAGAATCATATGCATTGTTATTTTAATGTTCACTTGTTTCATCGACACCCTATTGACTTTTTTTCTACTACATATTTCTCCACTTTGTCTAAATAGAATAGACAAGAATCTAAACAAACAATAGGAAGAGTTAAGCAACAACAAGACGTATGCAAAAATGGGCCCGGAAAATTAATAAAACTGCAAATCGAAGAAAAACAAAAATTGTTCGCGTACTTTCGTAAATGGTACCCAATTGGGGAGCAAAGACAATTCTGAAATTTTTGTGTGTTGTTACTCAAGTTTACCACCACACCTAGCCGGTTCCTTCAATGGAACTATTGCACCTCTCTCGATTAATCATAGAAGCTTGAATCGAGTTCCTAGGGTGTTTTATAGCTATTTCGTTTCTATATTCCAACAAAGTAGAATAAAATTCTGCTAATAATGTGATCTCCACCTCAGATTAATGCAAAATTTCCTCTAAAAATTACACATTGTTCTTCTTTTTGTTCTTTGATTCACAGAAGAATGCAATTGATCCGGTTTTGAGGAAAAGAGAAGATCACTTCACTTACAGCGTTGAATACGTTCGAATAGGGGTTCTATTGTTTGTATAGCCTTTCTTCTTTTTTCTTTTTTCTTTTTTCTTTTCTTTAGTTCAGTTGCCCTTTGCCGTATGTGGAGATGGGGTTAACCATTGCTGATAAGGAAACAAAAGCTACTGCTTAACCGGCACGGCATTTCACCTATTTTTTCACTGATAATATTTATATTTAGAACTGTTATATTTAAAACCTTTGTGTGGCTTAAAAATTTGGGGCAGACCTTTGTGTGTTGAAGTTACGTAAGCGCGTATTCTCACCAGGAAACAGCTCTTATCGCAATATAGTTCCCAATTAGGCAGTCAACAGTACTTTTGCTAATAAAAACCGTGCAAGCGCAAAATCCGAACCAATTAATTACTCGATAGTTACAAATCCCCTCATAATTTACTTTTTTTGCAACAACAAACCAGAGAGAAACCAATCAATCAGTCTCAGCCGTATTTTCAACTATTGTATCACAATATTCCCACTCTACAGCTTTAACAATGAGTCACAACATGGCAATTACAAATAGTCCCGACTTCCAAGTCCAAGTAATGATTAAAACATTACGACAATTGGGGTACGATAAACTATCATCAGATTTGCTTCACGAGTACAGGACACAAGTACAACAAGAGAACGACCAGGATATACCGGTGCTTCTTAGCTGGTTCCATAATGCATTACGCACGAATAACTATTGTTCTATTGACGATTACCTTGTCCTGATTTTGAGTGACGGACACGAGGAGTTTATACATATTACAAATTACATTGGCGAGGACCACAAATCAGTAATCAACTCCATTTTGTATATGGTGCGAAGAATGGACTATTATCATAATCATAAAAGCGACAACGAGTTTTCATACTTGTGGGACAAGTTATTACCCTTGTTGGATATTATTAATATAGACTCAATACGGGAATTGTATGATGCTCAAATATTGGACCGGTTAAACTACGAAAATGAAGCTGAGCTACTAACAAATGAGTATATACCACTACACAAACTCTTTTTCAGTTTACCAGGAGTCGACGACAACATTCAAGAAGTGCAAGATGCCATTTTCAAAAAAGTGTTTAAAAACTCCCATCTTGTATTCAATTCACCAACACATGTGCCTGCTTTATCTACAATCATTGACCAATCAGTCAAATACCAACAATCACAATCGCCACTATACCTACCACCAAGAAACCGACAAGAATGGAAGAAAGCAATGGCATCGCTGGATCATCAGAAATCGCCAACCACCAACAATTTCAACGTGACAAAACTCCATTACACACTAACGGATCACTTGGACGAAGTATGGTTTTTGAAATTCTCACCGCTGGGCAAATTCCTCGTCACGGGCTCGCTTGATGGCCGATTGATTTTGTACAATGTTTATGAAAATTTCCAACGGATTAAAATCTTGGAACCAACAAACGCCGCCGACTCAGCTGCATTTGTGCCCTTTTCGACAAAGCCATCAAGTGGAAAGACAAAAGCCGTCATTTATTGCTGTTGGGACCCCAAAGAACAATACTTGGTCAGCTGCTGTTTAGATACTGTGATTCGTATATGGGCTGTGGGTGATATTCATCGCAAACGCATCACTAGAAGCGAAGCCAATGCCAGTCATGATATTAAATTAATGACATGTTTTACCTTGGGCCAGGACATAAAGACATGGTCATGTGAGTTTCTTCCATATACAAAGGAGACGTCAGTTAGTTCGTCAACACCACAGTTTATCATTGGCTCGCCCGATAAAGCATTAAAAGTGTTTGATTGTCATGGAGTAGAGATTTTTGACTTTTATGGCAATTTGGAAGACGACGATGAGGAAAAGACCCACCATGATAGGGATCAGTACGGAGTCCTTTACCGAGGAGATCCGTCTAGAGGAAACCCAAGTAGCACACGTCGTTCTCATGATGCCACAAGCAATGGCGATGGGGTAGCAGCAGCAGCAGCAATTAATGGCGAAGATGAAGCGATTATTGATGATGATGGTACCAGAAAGGATGACGTATCGATGCTCGATGCCGATTTCAAATCATCATTTACTGAAAATCCATTCAATCGCATCAATGACTTGGCCGTTACTCCCGATGGCAGGTTCCTCATTACAGCCAACAACGACAAGAAGCTTCTTTTTTATCGCATCCCTGATGTATTTAATGATGAATCAACCACCAGAAAACTAGCATGTATAAACTTGCGAGGACGGCTTACTTCGTGTTCAGTATCATCCAATGGCAAATATGTCTTGATCAATTCTGCTCCTGAAGAGTTGCAAGTGTGGGACATTTCACCGTTGTTGCATAATAACCCACCAATCTTGTATCGCAAATATATCGGACACAGTCAAAGCACATACATCGTCCGTAGCTCATTTGGGTACTTGAACGAAGATCTGGGCGAAGAGGAGTTGGTATTGAGCGGGTCTGATGATGGATATGTTTACTTTTGGAAGTTGCACACGGGACAGTTGATCACCCGAGTCAAGGCCCATGTTGATTTATGCAATGCTGTTGATTGGAACTTGCATGGACTGGTGGTGAGAAGTAATGACTATGGCAAGTTATGGGGAAGTGTCGGTGACGACAAGTTGGTGAAAATATGGGGAACATGAGAGAGAATCTTTACATCTTATTAGCTACTGTATACTCTTATTTTTTAATTCTTACACAACTACCTTACAATTCATCGTGTTCGACTTTTTCCTTCTCCTCAGCAACTTTTTCTTTGAGTTCTTCAGCAGCTTCATCAAGAGCTTCCTTATCTTCCTTCAATTTTTCTTGCAATGAAGCACCATCAACACCCAAAGCACCCTTTTCTTTAACAAAATCAAGCAAGGTATTCAATTCTCTTTGACCTTCGAAAACAGTTGGCTTTCTCAAGCCAGTTTTTTCGTCAATTTCACCATTGGCTGGGTACAATAACAAAGTTGGGTATCCTTGAATTTCAAATGGAACATCAACATCGTTAGCAGTGTGGTCAACATCAGCAATGACAACTTGGGCGTCGTCCTTATTTGATCCAAAGATTTCAGCCAATTCTTCCCAAGTTGGTGCCAATTTCTTACAGTGGCCACACCAAGGAGCGTAGTATTTAACAAAGACATCCTTATTGGTGTCCTTCAAAATCTCATCGTAGTTGTGTGCAACCAATTTGACAACTGGGTTGGCCGATTTTTCTTCTTCGGTAGGTAATGGTTCAGACTTGACGATTGGCAGCAACTTGTTGTCAAAGAAATCAGAGACAAACTTTTCAATCACCTTGAATGAAGGACCATCTGGGTGTTCAGTTTGGTTGACACCAAACTTTTTATTTTCAGCAACTTGTTGAATAGCAAACAATGGAACAATTTCAGGATCCATTGAAATTGCTTCGGCGTGTCTTCCATACAAATTGGCATCCAAACCAACAATGTTTAATTTACCTCTAAATTTTTTACCCAACTTGCTCAAGTCAGCAGCAATGGATTCTCTTTGCTCTGGAGTCTTGTAGAAATAGTAAGCAAGTGGTAAAGTCGACGTCATGTAAGCCATATAAGTATCTCTGCTAATCTCACCAAAGTATGGCAAGGTTTCAACGGAGATAAATTCAGTCAACTTGTCCAAATCTGCTTTACCATCATATTTAATAGCTTCAACAACTTCACCTGGGTGAACAACCAAGTAGGAAGCCTTTTTCAAATCTTGATTTATTACTTTACCCAACTGCTTCAAGTAATCTTTACCAACATCAATAAACGTAAAATCGTTTCTCTTTGTACTGGCAATCTTTTCAAAGATGTCATCAGCAGCACCATTGACTTTCAAAATGTATGGCTTAGTTTGTTCTTTGATCAACTTTTCCAAATCCTCCCATGATTCAGGCACTTGGACAGATGGCAAGGATTGCTTGACCATGTAATCAACGATACCTTGGTGTTCTCTTGGGCCTTGGTAATCTTCAGCAGCTTTTGATGCACCATCTCTGATAATCTTCAATGTTGGGTAGCCTTTGATTCCGTGTTCAGCACACAAATCTTGGTCTTCAGTACAATCGACTTGGGCCAACTTGATATTTGGATGAGACTCGTTCAAGGTGTCAGCAGCTTTGGAAAATTCTGGTCCCAACATTTTACAGTATCCACACCATGGGGCAAAGAATTCAGTTAAAACCAAAGGATTTTCCTCAAGGAATGTGGCAAAGTTATCAGTGGTCAACTTGACAACGGCGGAGTTGGGATCAGCAGTAGCTTCACCGTCAGTTGGGCCACTGGCATTGGTGATTGATACAACTGCAAGGAGAGTGGCCAATGCACTAGTTGAGTATTTCCAGAATTGCATTGTTAGTCTATAGTGGCAGGTGGGTTGTTGTTATTGTTTAATGAATCTGTAAAGTGGAAAAAGAAGTGAAAATTAAAATTTATGCTGGTGGATTGATTGATTTATAATTTGTCTGTCTGTCTCTCTCTCCCTTTTTTTTTTTTTAATTTTTTTTCTTTTGGCTTCGGTGTCCGTGTTGGGACTAAGATTGATTGAAAATTAAAAACTTTAGGTGGCAAATAAAGGTGCAGCAGCACATATGTTCTATGGCCAATTTAAAACCAGTAGCTGAATAAGAGCTTATAGGGGTCATTTCTACAACTGTCCCATTTTCAATGAAGCCATTGGTACTCTTCTTAGATGTGTCGATGTGTCGTGTGGATTGAGAGGAAGTGGTAGTGTAATCATTACCAAAAAGTTTGACAGCGTGTTAACAACAACAACAACAACGTAATCCTTTTTTTTTCTTTTTTTTTTTGTACAACCAGACACGTCTCTCTTTAACCATTTTATTTTGTTAATTCAAATGACGCGACATAAGAGTTTTGATTTTTGCAGCCAATGTCGCAAAGACGTCTATACATAAATTGGAAATTGCAAAAGAAGAACATACGTGCATAAAATAGAAGGCAAAAAAATTCAATAGAAGAATATAACGTAGCCAAAAGTTAGAGTCCATTGTGCCCTTTTTTTGTTTTTTTGATTATCTTATAAAAATATATCACACATTTAAGTTTTTATCACCACAACTTTTGCTAGGTACAGGAACATCATATAATCTCTTGCAAAAGTTGTTGTTGTCGGTATTGCATTTAGGTCGTGAAACAATTAGGGGTAATCTGGATAAAAACCATAAAATGTTTATGAAACACTACTATCTTGCAAAAATAATGCAATCGCTTTCCTGGGTAGTCCCCGTTTTTGGAGCTCTTTGCATTATGTGGATATTTGATTGGGATAAAGAGTAGGTAAAAGGGGTTGTTATATCAATACGTTTTTAATATGGAAGAAACGTTGAAAAATCATATTCTGATCATAAATTCAAATATTGGCCATAGAAACTAAAGATACTGGTATGAGTGAAACAATCCTTCTCAAACAATGAATAATAGAGTTGGAATAGAGGTGCAATAGTACTGCTATATATTGAATAAAATATTACTAATATTTCCTAACTTGTACTCTTATTGCCTTGGATCTGATTCAATTCTATATAAAAAGTGATCCCAAAAGTCTCAATCTTGAACTTTCTTACTAAGCTTGGCTATGGGTAGTGATTTTTTTGATGTTGAGCTTCGGTAAACTGCCCTCATTTTGTTTTATTGTACGAATTTCGCTGTATATTAGTAATAGCAACAATGTTGTTTTTCTCGAGCAAACTCAGTATCAATCAAAAGATTTAATAAACCAGTGTTAAACACAAAATCTTAGCTCATGGCCTTCTCTACAGTCCGTTTAGCTGCATTGACACTATGCTCAGCATCAGTCGATAATATCAGTTTGCATACTGCACTTACAATGTAGATAAAGCAATCCAACAAATAACATCAATGTAGGATAGAATATAATCAACCCAGAATCAGGTTTTAACGATAATAGCTTCACTTCAACTGGAACATTTCAATTGCAGCATTGTCACTCGTGACCAACTCGATATCGAGAACAAACACAATAGAAGCTTTTGGGGGATCATAATTGTAAAGTTCCGAATCAAATGAATCCTCTGTGTTGATAATAGGCTGTGTTTTACCTCTGTTAATGCATGTATGTTCACTGCATCGGTCTGTCAGTAGTTTTGGTTTCGATTTCTCAGGGGCCAATGGCCGAGTTGCAGATGTGGTGCAGCCAATTCCATTTTTGATTCTCATTAGTTCGTACTGGGATGTTGTACGCTCTGGGGATGAATTATTATCATCACTGTGCACTTTGAGAGGATTATAAGGTTTCAATGGGCGTACTAAAGCGGATGCAGAACCTCATTATAAATATTAATGTCTTATATCCTTTACATCGACTCCTTGAAGTTATACATAAACAATTTCGAGTTCTGTTGCGACAAATTGGGTAAGAACAAAACCATTCACTGGAATTGGAAACTATTCGGAATAACAAGTAAGTAGAGATTGAATTCAAAAAGCAAATCTCAATTAGCAAAAGTATACTAAAAGGGTGGCCTGGTAAATTCGTCAACAATATATTATAGTTACAACAGAATGATCAGCTATAAACTAGTTTATTTGCCCCTCATCAACTACACAAACTTGATGGTTGTTGTCTGCTTTCATGTACTCCAACTAATCTTTCAACATTTGCGTCTCTGCTTTGACAGACCCAATAAGATCATTAAAAAACTTTGAATCAATGCATTTATACCAAATAGAACGAAAATTAGTAAAACAAACCCAAATGAATATAGCTGATATTTTTCAAGTATTCCTAACCAGCTTGTTGATTCTCTCAATTATATTGAATTAGGTAGGTGCATGGGCCCACTAAAGGCACAAAAATAAAGAGTTGAGTGTGTAGTTGAGTTCAGCACCGAATCACAACTCGTTTATCCATACGGTGCTGTTTTCATAGTGGACAATACTGATTTGTTATATAGTTGGAAACAAGAATTCAAACCTTCGAAATCAAGGAAAGCCTAATAAAAACAAATATGAAAGAAAAAGAAAGCCCCCTAAATTGTTTGTCCGATATGGATCCTCCGAAGGAGGTGACATAAGTTTGACTCAAAATGTATAAGCATTTTTCTTTTGAGATGAGCGACATTGAAACTCCATAATATAACACACCAGGCTCTTTCAAGACTTACATGAATGATTTTTCTTCCCTCATGGTTCTGGAACAATTCACATGTATACTCAATAGGGCTATGTATGCTAGAAAAAGAAAAGAGGGGCATGTTTGTGAATTGCAGGGTGTACAGTTGTTTACCTGTTTGTTCAAAACCCAAAGAAATCCTTCCAAGTTGACCAACTATCCATCTCGACATCGTAAATGTATGCCATTGAGTGCCTTAATGAGCTCTGTAAGTACTGTGGCCTGTAATCATAGATCAACATCACCAACCCCCACACCAATATTGCGAAATATTTCCACAGTCTATTGTAAATCATATTTTTCAACTTCTTTTGTTGATGCAGAGTCAAATCACGATAAGTTATTTGATCGCCAGCAAAATTGGTGAAACTTGGTTGGAAGCAGCCGAGATAATTATCCAAGAGAATCTTGCCTACAGCTATCAAGACTCTTGAAAAACAGTACAATGTGATTTGATGAGTGATTCCGCCGTGAAACAAATTGAAATGACCAGAATAAACTATCCATGATCCTAAGCATCCAGCAATGAATTTCGGTAATTGCGTGTTCTTAGGTCCTAAAAAGGCGTCATGTTGTAGGATCTTGACTGCTATTTTATAGATTATGGCAAATGAAGCCAAAACTTCAGCATGGTCTTTAGTTGCTTCCAAAACCGACTTCATACGCGGACCTAGTGGACCAGAACGATATAACAAGTTTATGACTAGTGCATGTGAGAACCGCAACTTACCGCCGTATACGACACCATTTCTGGCCGATCTAATTATTTCCAAAAGTGGACGATATAAAGGATCTGAAAGTATCGTCATTGTGGGTGGAAGGGGTTATAGTTTGATAGTTGGAGTATGATGGCTTACTTAGTTGAAGCCTTGAAAGTTTTGATTCTGTGATTGATGATAGCACAGGGGAAGTAATATATTGTACTTGATGATTTCCTTGCAGCTCTGTTTGCTTTTGTCTCTCGTCCGATACCATGTTTTTCTTTTTGATTTTTTTTTCTCTGTATGGGGTAAATACGCTCAAGAGTGAAAACGAAAGTTTATGTGCGGCTCACGTGCCGAGGGTACCAATCAAACAATGCTGTGTTTCGGAACCTGAAAAGTTGCACTTGAAACGATAAGGGATGGACTCTGCGGTTAATAAACTTGAAATATACAACATGGGGTGATATTACTACTTGATTTACGACGAGAGTACTTTAAGCTATATTAATTTCAATTATGGGTATCTAGTGTATTATCAAGGGCTACTACCAGTTGCCGTTGCCTTTCAGTTTATGAATTGCCTAAAAATGGCTCTCTTTTCATGCAGCGTTAGTATGGATCCATTTATTTAGGTGTTTTGAAATCAATGCAGAATTGCACATTAATTACACTCGTCAAAATATAGCCCTAAAAAGATTTACTTCAGCCTTCCAATTTCACAAAAAGAAAACAGGAAAACTGGCTTCCAATCATAGGGGGAGTGGATAAATAAAAGAAAGAAGCACTTCCAGATATCACAACCTGACAAAAAGGTTTTGTTCCTGGACTAAACTTAAAGATACTGAAGTCACTTTTAATGTATCAGCAAACGCTACCAAATTAAGACGAACTGTGAAAAAAAAATTTTTTTTTTTCGTCTGGTTTATAAAAAACTGAGAGAGACAAAGAGAAAAATTTTTTTTCTATCAAACTTTGAACTCACAAGTTATACTTCAGTCAAAGAGATCACCCCCTTATTTTAGGAGCTACTTAAGTTATTCGACCAACTACACTCCCATTCAGTCATAAAGGAAGTGCAACAAACTCATAAGAGATCAAGATCATATTCCATTAGCTTGTGTTTTCCTTTTTAAAAACCAGGTCAAGATATTTTTATACAGAGACAGGAAAATTTTTTTTTTTTCTTTTACCAACCTTTCTTGCCCTGATCAGTTCTGCATTTGCTCAATTCATACCCCAAAGAGCAAACTATTAGCTAATCGTATTTACTTCAGATCATTTCAATCAAGGTCCTGTGACGACACTGCATAGTCATTTAACGAATAACCTGAGAGGTAAGAATTCTCGTCACGTTTAAACATATTCATTTTTCAATCAACGTCATAACCTCATTATTCATTGCAAAAACAAACTAAGCATGACTTCCAATGTATCATATGCTGCTTTAGCAAAGTCGTTGTCCGATGGTAAGACCACCAAGGAAACGCCAGTTGAAACACACTCATCAACTGCCAAGCCTACTGAAACAAAGGTGTCCAAGGAGATTAAGGAATCCGAAGAGTCCAAAGAGTCCAAGGAATCCAAGGAGAACAAAGAAAACAAGGAAAACAAGGCAATTAAGCCTGAATCGTCTACTCCTCCTGCCTCGACTGAATCAGTTCCTTCATCAGCCAACACCACTACTGCCAACTCCAGTGCCACCACCAACTCACCAAAGACTTCACCAGCCAAAGTTTCTTTGGCTCCAGCACCAGTTCCAGCTACATCAGTATGGGGCTCGATATCCAACGATGTTGAGGCGTTGAAAATAAATGACTCTAGTTCTGATAACAAGCGTACTCCAGTATTGGGCCAGCAAACGCCGTCGATAAAGCAACAACAGCCAAAGAAGTTTATCAAGCCTATTACCACCAAATGGGTTCCTTTAGATGTCAATGTGACCTTGCAATCGAGATCAAGCGGTAGTTCAAAGCCAAGAAGTAAGAGGAGACAGAACAACCCAAGCAGTGCCAATCGTGGGAACGCAAGTGGAGCTTCTGGTAGAGATGACAGATCAAAGTCCGGGTTTAAAAAGAGGGAAGGATCGAGAGACGAGTCAGCTGAAAAGACCGATGTTGAATCTGGAGCTGGATCAAAAGATGAGAGTCAGGTTTCTGACAAGCCAGTTAAAGGTGATAACGAGCTGACAGATCCTAATTCTGAATCCGAACATGTTAAACAAGAACAAGAGCAAAACTCAACAGAAGGTGAGGTAACTCAACCAAGCGAGGAAACCCCAGTAGACGAACAACAACAACAGCAACAGCAACAACAACAGCAACAACAACAGCAGTCAGCCAACCAATACCAACAGTTTCCACAACAATCTCAACAGAAACCATACAACAGACGTTTTAACCCAAACTACAACAACAATAATGGTTCGTCAAATGGATACTCCAAGAGATACAACAACAATAACAACAACAACAACAACAACACCAACAATAACCAGCACTACAACAACTACAACCAACAACCATACCAACCACGTCCTTACAAATCACACTACAAGAACAATAACCGCAACTACAACCATAATCAATCGCCCAACCCTAACGCTAATGGCCCATATAGTCCTTCACAGTTTAACAACTTTGCTCCTATGTATTACATGCCAATGCAGCCACCAGCTTTTATTCCTCAACATCCACTCATGCCTAATGGCGTTCCTGCAGTCCCTGGAGCACCTGGCGTTTTGCCAACCCCAGTTCCTCCATCATCGTCAGCAACAGCTCCACCACCACCAATCTCACCACAACAGAACCCATCAGAGGCATTACGATATCAATTGGAGTATTACTTCAGTGATGAGAACTTGGTCAAGGATTTCTTTTTGAGACAAAATATGGATTTAGAAGGATGGGTGCCTTTGGATTTGATCTTGAGTTTTAAACGTGTCAAAATTATTACCAATCAAGGAGGTATTGATGTAAAGGAAGTTTTGGGTCAATGTGGTAATATTGAAGTTAGTGAAGATGGACATAAAGTGAGAGCTCGTAGATAATGATCATGAGTGGTAGTAGAGTTGATTGAGCTAGAGAAGTGAGAGAAAGAGTATTGAGGAGAAACTGGAACGATGTGATGTGATGTGATACGAGAGAGAGAGAGAGACAGAGAGAGAGGGTGTGCATATGCATAGATCATAGTGCTTTATTCTTTTCACAAAGACTAGTGTTGCAATAAAGGGAATAGTGTTCAAACCACAGAAAGTTTAACCGATCCAAACCCCAAGTTAGTTTTCTAAAAAAAGAGTATTTTCACCATCAATATTAGCGCGAATTACTCAAATTTGTACAATATATTTTACCACCAAAATGATGCTGTAAAGAGACAATGAAATGAAATTCAAATGTTACCTAAACTGAACGCCCCCTAACTATTATTAATATTTTTATAAACCTTTGAAAAAAAAACGCCAAATCCAGAAAAACTTACAAAAAACCCCCAAAAAAAATAAAGACAGAGAGACAATACTTCAAACAGACGAAGAAGAAGTGACGTATCGTTCATTTGTGCTTCTACTACCGTTTCTGAACCATTTATCCACAGAAAACACCTCCTACTTAGTCTTGACTTTTCAAGAAATGGAGGGGTGTTGTTCTTCTACCGTACATAGTTTTTTTTAATCACCAAAGTTGTTTTTGCAAATCGAGATATATATTAGTAACTACAAACATGTGTGTATATGTATTTATGTATATATGTTAATTTATTTTTTTACAACTTTGTTGAAAAATGAAAAGAAAAGCACAAACGGTAATTGACTAAGAACGTGAAACAACATTAAGAAAATATAAAAAATACCTATACAAAAAACAAAAAGGTTTGATGACGAATGCAAAAAAAAGAAAAGTACCACATCATTAGTTCATGATCATTAATGTGAAAGTGAACGTGCCTTAGATAAATTCAAAGCTGCCAATACTACGCCTCGTCACTGCATTCACATCCCACATCAAAACGCCAGCATCTTGACATCCAACAACAATTCTCAAGTCACCTGTTATAGCATCGTTAACAAATTCAATACCCAGTAATTCCATTTCGCCATGTTGATGGTTTGTGTGTTGTTGGTACAGATCATCACAATAGGTCAGGTACATGTATGATGAGCTTGCCGATAATGATGTTGCTGATGCCATTGACGGTGACGATGAAGTTGATGCATTGACTGTAGTTGTAGTTGTTGTAGTTGTTGTGTTTCTTCTTGAATTTGTATGATTGTAGTTGAGATAAATCTCATTCAACTGTGAATCAATATCAACGTCATACGACACTGATGGACGAGAAGTTGATCCTGATGATGACGATGATGGTGGTGGGTTGGACGAGAATCGACGATAGTTGTGATTAGCATGATGGATACTGGTTCGTGGAGAAGTCGTTGATATTGGACAATCATGTGGTGCTTGTGATGATGACTCATTCAACACAAGACTATCACCTCTTGACCAGTCGGGAGCACTCAATTTCAACGCTTCATCATGCAAATCAGGCGGATTCATTGGTGGCACATAACTAACATCATTGAATAACCTTGGATTGACATTGGTCAAATAGTCGTAATCATACACTAGTGGTGCTGTAAATGACAAATTTTCTGAGTAAATATTCATGGGCGATTTGACTTCATATTCTTCATCTTCAAATTCATCCTCCAATTGTTTCAGTTTATCTTCATCCCTCTTCATTAACGATTCCTTATAATTGGCAAACTGATCTAATGCTGCAGGGACAACAATAACTTGTCGATCAAATGTTTTTAAATCAATTAAATGCACACGACCCACATGCTCGGCAATCATCAATAAATCATGAAAATCGTCTTGTTGTGATATTTTACAAACTCTAAATGCTCCCAGTTGATGCTTTTTACGAGTCGAATTAAATTGCTTAAGTGGAGCATTCAAGTTTCTCAAATCATACAATTGACACACACCATCTTGGAACACTGTTGAAAACAAGTATCCATTGGGATGGTATGATATACTGAATCCACCATCATATTGTGAATCAATAGTTTTCACAATTGGTGAGCCTGAATTTGGGTCAATGATAAAAATCAGCGATGAATCACCGACAGCTGTAATCAAACTATTTCTTGGGTTCTTGACACTTGAGTTGAGACATGTATAGTTTTCACAGTTGATTTTGTTTGTCATTTTCAAACTTGAATTGTTGTTGATGTCAACACAATATAGATTGGCATCATTATTACATAAAAGTGCTTGATACTGCTGATTTGTCACTTTATTCAATGAAACATCATTATTTATCATTTCTCCTAATTTAACCGTGTGCAAGATTGATAACTCAGGATTATAAAAGGAAAATAAACCCTTTGCAACAGCTCTTGAAGAAGTGCTAAAGTCCTTTGAGGTTAAATTATCCAAATCTAAAGAAAACAATTTTGATGATGAAGTCAATAAGCCACCAGTGGCAATCAAACCGTCGTGGTTATCAAAACAACGAGGGAAATAGTTTAATTTCAAAACTTTCTTGGTAAATGCTTGGGATAAATCATATAAGTGAACTGAATCTTCCTTTGTATAGTACAACACATTATCCTGTCTGTTGTACTTGGTTAGGTTACGTAGTTGCCAGTGGTTTACCGATGTGTTAATATTGGGGATGTAGATGGGGTTTTGTTTCAAAAAGTTGCTGGAATGATAGTAATTTTGAAAACACTTGTTGTATTGATGCGATACTCGGTTGAAATGCTGCGAGCTTGTACTATCTCTCTTTCTTCGCTTCATGGTGGAGTTTCTCCTCGACGACGGTGCGGTGTGTGAAGTAGTGTGCATGGTGGCTGCGTCTGGTATCGACGACGACACAGTTGCTGATAAAGAATCTTCACACAAAGTCTTTTGCAAATCTACCACAGTTTCACCAGTTGCTGCTGATGCTGTTGTAGTTGTAGTATCTATAGTCATATTATGAGACTCGTGTGGCTAATTAAAAATAAGTCCTCGAGAATCTTTTGGTTATTGCTGTGGGGGAAGTTTTGTCCTTTCCTGTGGAACAAAAATAAAATGACAAGTGATGAAGGAGAAAATTAGAATGCTGTGGGTAGATGTATGATGTAGACCTGATAATCGGTTTTGTAATGTTGAGATCTAAAGAGTCTTATGGATGCTTTGGTAGGTGATGATGAAAAAAAAAGGACATATAAAAATCAATCAAGTGACATACATTAAATTAATCAAATGATTGTGTGAGAGGCAGAGTCATTAAAGTACTGCATATAAAGAACAGGCGTCGAGAGAGAACAATAGTGAGATAAAAGGTAGTGTACTTGCGGACAAAACAGGGGGAAGTGGGGAATTAAAGAGTTGCTAGTTGTGGCATGGAGTAGATCGTTCGGATAAACCATCACACGATAAGTGCGAGGCACTAAATCTTAGAGCAATATCATTGATGGCTACTATAGTTTTATAACGGAGGCTAGACGAACCAGGGAGAGGGGTATAAGAACTGCAATATATTCTAAAACACACGCAAAGGAACAGATACATGGACTTACATACTATAACAATAGAATGTGACATTGAATTCCGATTTATTCTATTGGTTAAAAGCACTATGATTGTAAGTTATCATCTAACTGAGTCGAAATGCAGGAAAGGCACGCTAGAGTATTTATCGTATAAAGGGGAGTGTAAAGTGTGGTTACAAACTATACTATTAGGTAGCGCCAATTAGCAACATCCCGTCTTTTTAAATTCAAATCAAACATCAAACCCAAGCTCTAGTAGCACTTTCTCTTGCCAGGGTGCAGTATATTAGACTTTGGATGGGTAAATGCTTAAGCCCCTAAAAACACACAAGTCATAGAAATTTGCTAATTTGCTTTGCATCGTCTACGAGACTCCTCAAGTTTTGTGTAGAGTCATAAAAGACAATAAAAAAGATTTTGTGTAAAGAGAAGGAATCAATTTTATTGCTTATCTGTTGAACAATAAGCATGTTTTGATAACCTTCAACACCTATTGTTAATCTTTCCCTCTATGGTTTTACAGTTTAGTGGTTATTAGAGAGCCCAGTTTTTGTTCATTCACCCCAGCAGGACGGTGTTACCCAAAAGAAAATGTCTTTCAGCTCGACCTGCTACTATCTAAAAAGAGGAGTTGACTCGCTTACAGTTACAACTTGAGGTAATGTTTTATATATCAAACGTATATTGTATCTAAATCTCCCTAATTGCAAAGTCCCAAAACCTATAATAAATCCCTTGAAAAGAAAACCCAATAGAAAAAAAAAATTCAAAAAAACATAAGCTAAAGTCAACAAAAGCTTAGGCAACAACTCCTGGTGTGTTCAGATTGGAGTAGCTAATACTTCTCTCTCCATCGCCAACATCTACTGCTAAGTTGTTACCACCTCTTGCAACACTTTGGATACCACAGCTTAAATAATTGGCCATTATACGATTGAATGAGACATCATCATTGGCCAACAACTTGTGTTTGTAATCAATAATCAATGGCATTGAACGCGTTGAATCATTGTTTAAATTACTAACTAGGTAATCATAGTCTTGCAATTGTTCAACAAGATTGAATCTCTCTTGTTTGGATAACTTCTTGAAGTCTACATTGGACACTGACTGAATCATTACTCTTGTGTTGTCTGGATGTATATCTAGACATTGATCAATAATAAACTTGTGATCCTCTTTGGTTAAGCCAATGCTCTCCTTAATATTTAGATAAAACTTGCGATTTGTCTCATTTGGTTTACTCTTGGATGTGCTTAACCCATTATGGGGTTTTGGTTGATAGATTTTATCATGAGTGCAAGGAAGTAAACTATAAGAAGTCAACTGGTTGAGTAAGTTGAGCGACAAGATGGAATTACTGTTATGGTACATGGTTAAAGATGGTGTAAGCTTGCCAGCGGTTGTTGCTAAAGAAGTTGATGACTTCAAGTAAGGTTTGAGTGATTGAGTAAACCTGGAAATCATTGTTGTGATATGCAAAGGGTCTTTTTGTCTGTTGTGTAAAGCAAAGGCGAAAGCAGTGGTAATTGATGGAAAAGGAATAAGTTTTTAATGAAGTTTGTAAAAGATAGCAAAGTTAGGAAAAAGAGATCAGAAAAGACAAAACTCTGAAATCAAGAAAAGAAGAAGGCTTCTTTTATATATTTTTTAATCTCATAGTGGAAGATAAAAGAGAAAAAGAGTCAAAAACGGACTTTCCCCTCCCTTGTGTATTTTTTGCTCGTTTATCTTTTTTCTTTTAATTTTTTGATGGCAAAAAAAAAGAACTGCAACCCAAAATAATTAAACGCCGAATAAAATTAAATAGAAAGATAACACTAAAGTGGTAATAACAACAATAACAAACACAGCACATATTAAACGCCCATGTGCGTTCTTTTTTTTTTTTTCTGAAAATCCCCTCATCTTAAAATAACAATAACAACAAGAATAATAATACACTTTATATCTCTCTCTCTCCTATATATCTAATTATATCTTCTCATAGAAAAACATAGAATCGCAAATTTAAATGCCAGATAGAATTGGCGTATAGCCTACTTTTTGAACAATACTACAACTATGCAAACGCTTACATCCCTTTCTCTTTCTAATACACACTGTATTATTACAGCAGCCACACCTTTTATACTAATCACATAGCCCTTATGGTTAAACTCTTTGTTAAAGAATAAACGTGGGAGAGAAGTCTTTCAAAGGAGTTGGGTATGTGAGATGAGATAAAGGAGGGGAAAAAATACAAACTAACAATCACACAAAGTGTAACAAATACGACCTAAAACATTTCGGACATCTACAGAATGGAGAAGTAAGAGTAAAAAGAGAAGGAGGAGGAGCAGAAGAAGAAGGAGATAATTTCTGACTCTGTCGCTGTCTCTGCCTCTGCCTTTACAACTTTTAGTTATACGCAACCACCCCTCTTTCTCACTTTGATGTTGTTGATCCATTCGGATATTGCCGAAGGAAAGCGGAGTCTCTTTTGTCGTTTCAATTTATGTTCTATGGCAATAATGACCGTGAATATATGTGTGTATATGGTCCTCATTGCAACCTTTATTCCGTTTCTATATTTCTATCTATTGTGTTTTTGCTTTGCTGGCTATGCTTCTCTGTATCTCCTCCCTTTCCCTTTTTTTTTGTTGAGTTCTCGGAAAAACTTTTTTCTTTGTGTTGTTTTTGCGTTTTTCCGTTTACAGTTCATACAAAGAATACAAAACTTATAGAATTCCTTGCAACAAAACGTTACTTAATACCGAGAGGCCACTTTCATAGAGTATCAATGAAGCAAGGAAGTTTCTGTAAACTCCCACGCATTTGAGCCTAGTTGTATAAAGAGTGTATGTGAGTGTCTATCAACTGGAACATAGAATAATTGCACGTTAAATATTCAATGTCGCAAATGGACAAACAGCAAGTGTCGCTAACAATAGTTACTAATATATTCACATTGAATATCCAGTATTACTCCTTAAATGGTTTCTTTCAGGTTTGGAGGATTTAATGATTTGGTTGCACTAACTTCATCAAGTTAAATTCTGCACGTGAATGGCACGTGTATATGGTACTCTCTGAAACAACAGAAAAACAACAGTTTAAAGTCTATTGTGCTGACTCGTTTTTAGTCACTTTTTTGGCCACACTCATAAATGCTTTTTGTTTTTGAAATAATTGTCGACAAAGGGTAAACCGCTAACTATGTCAGGTGGGTAGTAATTAGGGTTACTACTACCTTCCAAGTGGAAAGCGTACTTTTTAAGAAGCCTAAATAATTACCAAGATATATCTTCTCTTGTGGTGAATGCTGCAGCGGGTTATAAAGATTACTCTATTGAATGCTGAGTGGTTGCTAAACACACAGTATAGGAAAACCTTTTGCTGAGGCTGGCACTTGCTAATTAAAGTCAATCAGTTGAGAGAGTCTAACCCACGTGGATCACCTCTTTTAGCTAACAACCAACATATATCGATGTGTCTCCCGAGCCAATAAATCAAACTGCTGATATTGCTACTCTTGCAAAGGAAACAAAGAGAGATGTATACCTCCAGTGAGCATCTAGTATTTAAGTCCGCCTTTACGGAGAAAGATTTCTCGGTCCGAAACAAAGCTTTCAAATTGTTATCGCGTGTACTTTAATTTGACAAATCACAAGACCATTTACAAGAAGCAGAACAATACCTAAGAGATTTAGATATTTACCCCAATTTCCAGCTTTCCTCTAGTGCTTGGTACTTTTCTTTGTCAACCATTTTCAGCGACTAGCTCCGCTTTTTTGAATGAGAGTACATGTAGTATTGCGTTTTTTTGTTTTTTTGCGGCTAAAAATTATTTGCCTAATTGGGTAAATCACCAATCTCCGAACATATTATATATTCGATTGCACAAGATGTATTCCCTAATACGTCTATTGAAGTAGTTGCAGCTTAGAATGTTCCATTGTTAAAAACCCTTTATTAGTGGACTCCCATTGTTCTTACAATCCTTCTTGGTTGATAAGGGTCGTGAATTTCAGGATATCATCGCTTGGCCAATGGGGAAAAATGCTCCACTTTGAAGTGGAGAAGGGCATATGATCTTTTTATCACTCATACTTCTATGCTATAAGTATGAATACGGCGTCCTCCTATGAGAAACCAACATGCCTAGCCGGACTCCATCATTACCATCTTTTTACAAAATATGAATATCTGGCTTGTCGTTCTTTTCCTCGGTCATGTAATTTTTGCAGCCGTTATTGAGCCCGTTAAACCATCTCAAGACCAATTTTATACCCCACCTGATGGTTATGAGGATCAGGAAGTTGGCACAATACTTAAACACAGGAAAATACCAGCACCGTTATCGAGCATCGTTAACAGCGTTAGCGTTCAAAACTCATGGCAACTACTTGTGAGATCTGAAGATACATTTGGTAACCCAAACGCTATTGTCACTACCGTTATCCAACCACACAATGCTATTCCAGGTAAGGTGGTGTCCTACCAGACATTCGAAGACTCGTCAAAATTTGATTGTTCACCATCATATGGATTGCAGTATGGGGCCGATATCACCTCCATAGTTTCGGCCTTGGAGATGTACTTCATGGCACCATTATTGAATCAAGGTTACTATATTGTAACTCCTGACTATGAAGGACCAAAGAGTACATTTACCGTTGGTTTGCAATCGGGTAGAGCTACATTGAATTCAATAAGAGCTGCCCTTAGTTCAGGAAATTTGACTGGTATTGATTCCGATGCAGAAGTTATGATGTGGGGTTATTCAGGAGGAACCATTGCCTCTGGCTGGGCAGCTGCTATCCAAAGTGAGTACGCCCCTGAGTTGAGTGACAATTTGATTGGTGCTACACTTGGCGGGTTTGTCACCAATATCACAGCTACAGCAGAAGCAACTGATGGTGGGATTTTTGCCGGTCTTATAGCAAATGCTTTGGGTGGGTTGGGAAATGAATACTCCAACTTGACCAAATTTATGGAAGAGAAAGTTAGAAGTGCCAAGCGACTGAGCTTTGACCAAAGAAATGACCATTGTTTGGCAGACGGCATACTTGCAAATATCGGCAGCCAGTTCTTTTCTGGAGAAAATAGATGGGTCACTGACGGTTGGTCAGTTCTTGAGGAAGAGCCGGCAAATTCAATAGTCAAGGAGAACGGTTTAGTTTACCAACCAGAGAAATATCTTCCTCAAATACCCATGTTCATCTACCAAGGTACTCAAGATAACATTGTACCCATTAAAAGCTCCAAAATAACATTTCAGCAATGGTGTGATTGGAGGTTAGAGTCAGGTGAGTTTAACGAGGACCTATCAACAGGACACATTACTGAAACAATAGTTGGGGCTCCGGCAGCTTTGACTTGGATTATCAATCGATTCAATGGTATGGACCCCATTCAAGGATGTAACCATACAGTGAGGGAATCGAATTTCGAATACCCTGGTATATCGCAATCGTATATTGATTACTTTACAGGTGCTTTGGACGTTGTTCTTGGCTTTGATTTGGGCCCATTGCTGAAGAGAGAAGTCAGGAGTATACAGGATTTGAATGAGCTTGAGTATGTAAAAATATAATATAGCCGGGCGGAGTTTTTTCTGTAGTACCCGTAGAAGTTGTAAGGGGAGTCGTTCCCGACATTGAATTTAAACAACAACTTCGGTGGCTAGCTTATATTGCTATTATACAGTCTGTATAAACTGAAATTCACTCCAACAATGGAAACCTCAACACTCCTCTATCAGGCTGTTTGAAGGCACCTATCAAATGCATTCCCTTCTATTTATAGCACCCTTCAGCTTTATTTGAAAGCTGCAAATAGGGTTGCAGTGTCAATTTTATCCATTTGACGACATTCATTTTAAACGACACAAAGTTACTCCTTTCTCTCATAACAAAAGATTGGAAACTCGTTCGTTTTCTCTCCGACCAATCAATCAAAACTCGCCCGCCTTTGACACGATAACAATGTCAGAAACAGATGATGTATTTGATTTAATAAACTCATTGCCCGATGTAAAACAGGAACCTGCATCACAACCAACTTCCAAGTCCAACAAGTCGAAATCAACTGATGATAAAGAAGTTTTTGACTTTCTTGATGAAATAGCTCAACATGAACAAAAAAAACCAAAGAAGAAATTAGAACCTAAAAAGAAGGTAGAAAACATTGTTAGCTCCAATGATGAGGATGGAGAAGAAACAAACGATCCAACTACCGGAACTTCTTCATCAGATACAACCGATGATCATGGTCAACAACAGCAACAGCAACAGCAACAGCAGCAGCAAAAACAGAAGGACCACCAAGGCTCAACTGCAACCGAAAGCAATCAGGACATACTTGAGCTGAACCCAATTGCGTCCTTATCATCATGGTGGAGTCTGGAAGGCAACCAAAAAGTGACCAGCTTGTGGGGCACAATCACATCCAATGCTGAGAAATTGAGTGAACAGACCTATCAATTAGCCTCATCAACCACAAACCAATTAAACGAACGATCAAAACATTTGGATACCGAACAAATTGGATCTCGGTTGAATAGTTTGTTTCTTAATATTTCCCACCAGATTAAACAAGGGTTAATTGAAGATGCCGATGAAGTTCTTAATATTTTGCTTGTTTCCGATTTATACAATTTCACCTATTTGCACAAATTGGTGCTGAATAACTTCAACGTTGCCATGAATCAAGTTGAAGGTGATATTAATGTCAATGTGCATGAATTCAACCATCATGAAGACGGTGGAGGTGGTGATCAAGTGAAGTTGAATTTGTTTTATGGGAAATTGATTGATGGTGAGAAGTTGGCCAATGCAAATTTGGAAAATGCCATTAAGGAGTATAAGAAAGTTGAAATGGAGAAGGAAAAGAAAGATAAGGAGGCAAAGGAGGTCAACAAGGGCCAAGAAGAGTCAAAGGAGAAAGAAAAGAACCGCAACGACAATAACGACAACAACGACAACAACGATGACTCTAACGACATTGTCAAATCAAACATCTTTATCACAATACAACCAATAACTACCAAACTCGACTCCAAACCACAAGATGTTGACGAAATTGACTCACTTTCAACAACATCCATAATCGATTCCCACAATACCACATCGTTCTCATTTACATTAATCCTTAAAGATATAACCAACAACATCACCATAACATCCCGTACTCAGCCTTTCCCATTACGCTGGGCGCACTGGCTTGATGGTGAGCAATTAAAATTGAATGAGTCAGGAGATGCTGCTGAGTTGGATTTGGATAATGTGGATCCTAAAGAATGGGTTAAGGACTGGATTCGTCAAGGATTGAACTTGGGTGTTGGCGTGTTGGCACAAGAGTATGTTATAAAGAGAATGGGTATATAAGTTTGGTCTAATTAAATCGATATGTTTATTAAACTTTTGTAGGAGGGCTTTTTGCTTATGTGTTTACAGTACCAGTTTGGGTATAGTTTCAACTGGTTATTTCTACCGTTCCCCTAAATGAGTATCGCATAGATTCCTAATGCAATACAAACTCAAACTTAGTGTGAATAACCCCTCTGTGTATGTGTGTTTGTGTGTCTGTGTGCTCTATGTAAACCTGAGTTGCGGGAACGAGAAGCAAAAAGAAAGATCCAATCACCAAGACAAAAAGAAAAAAAAAACGAGTGATTCTCATCATCACCACAATAACCAAACCACTACACGTCAAACAAACATGCACCCACAACTAGATAAGACCAGATTCGACACATGCGACAAACTAATGGATGCATTAGAAGAATGCCATCGACAAGAATTCCTCAAACAATGTCTTGGCTTGTGTAATTTTGAAAAGGAACAATTGAGTCAATGTTTGCACTATACGCGAGTTAATGATGCTAAAGAAAGGATCAGACAGAGTCAGGAAAAGCAAGCCAAGTTGAAGTTGAAGCAGAAACAGAGGGAGGAGGAGGAGTATGGTAAAAATGGGTATTTGAAGAAAGTTATCGAGTTGGAGATGCAGAAAAAGTGAGTGAATGCCGAGAGACGTTTGATTCGTTAATGAGGTGGCAGCGTAATCAAAGCCACGTCTTCTCTCTCTCTCTTAATCGTGAATAGTTTTAAGTTCTTGGAGAAAAAGTGGGCCTCCACAATACTTGTATATAGATATTTATATTTGGGTAAAAAGGAAATATTCTAAAAAAGAAGATAGTTTAGCACATTCACCCTCTTTTTAAGCTCAAACCCTGACCTACAACACAACGATATCTCTAAATATCCCCATCAATTATCACTAGCTATACATTTTCTTTTCCTCTTAATCTTGACGAGTTTTCAAAACACGTTTAATCACTTTATCCTTCGTGATAATATGCACCACAGCACCCCATCCACTCAACGCATCCCTATCCACCGCATTCAACAAGGCCTGACTTATCGTCTCAAACAAATCCTCCGGCTCCAAATTGGGTTCATATAACCCCTCGCACATTCCATACAACTGATCAGTTGCCGTCCCGCTGACAATGAAATCATGACTAAAGTCAATACACCCAATCGAATCAAATCCACAAATGAACGGCTTGTTATCTTTGGAACTCAATCCAGCAACTATAGGACCAACGAACCAAGGTCCAAACCTGCGTTCGTATAATGATGATGAAACGAGATTGGCCAATGTCGAGGGTTCAATGTTACGTTCTTCGCGTAATTTATACAAGTTGGTCTTGAATTTGAATAGTTCGCGCAATGTTATCACGTCGGTGGCTAATCCCGTCAATGCCATGTAGGTTTTATCGCCAAATTCAAATACTTTTTCAAAATTGTTTGACACTCCAAGCGATTGCGAACCTAAACGCAAGTCACTGGCTATGGCAACGCAATCTTTACCTATCATTGCGACTGCGGCACCACCGTTTATTGAAAATGGATCTGACATTTGTACTGAACTTTTGGGTTGTGCAAAGTTTCTGAGTAGAAGGTAGAATGTAGTTGGTGGCAATTTGTAGGCGACAAAAGAAAAAAAAAGTACCAAAACCAAAACCCCAATGTATCGCTACCAAGTACACCTTTATTTCATTGGAGTTCTTTTATCCCACTTACCTCCATTGGTCTACCCAATTCACAAACAATAACGATACGATAAAAACACACATTTAGAATAGAAATTAAAGAATAATAATAATAAAAAGCAAAACACACACACACAATCTATAACTTATATAACCAAAGCCGACACTTCATTAGTCACAACTTCCAAATTCGGCTTTTTTATACTACCTACAGGTGAGCCACCAGCAGCTTCACCTTGTCCTTGTCCTTGTCTTTGTCTTTGTCCTTGTCCTTGATCACCATGATCACCTTCTCCTCCTGACGCATTACTTTCTTGATCAACTTTAGTATTCTCTGAATCTTTTCTGCTTAGTTGTGCTTTGATTTCACTAGATGAATCTTCATCTTGATCCCCATGATCATCTTTTGTCTCTTTTGCTTCTTCGGCAGACACAGAAACAGTGACGTCACTCTCCCCTATTACTACTTCCTTGTTTGGCTCAGCTCCTTGATTAACACCAGTAGTTTCAATATCCGTATCTCCCTTATTAGCAACCACCGCCACATCCTCTTCGTCCTCTTCATCTTCTTCGGTTATCGTTGTCTCCATCATCGACTCCTTGCGCGGAGGACTCGAGCTTTGATTCGAAGTAGCAATCAACTGTGCAATAGGTGACTCATTATCCTTCAAGTTCGACAATGTAAACGTCTTGGGCGACTTGACCAATTTATTTTGTTCCAATTGATGCTGTTCTTGCAACTTGGCTATATTTTTAATCGATTTTGAAGATTTAAAGGTAGGGATGATATTGCCAATATCCTTCATATTGAAAAATAATTTCTTGATTTCACTTTTAACCAATTTGGTCAATTCATCATCTTCTTGTTCTTCATCAAGAGGTACACTGTGATGCGATGAGTCATCTTCCAAACTAGTATCTAATTTATCGCGCTCTTGTTTCTGCTTCTCTTCATGCAAGTCGAATCGCAATTGTAATGCAAACCCCAAAATGATAATGTAGCTGCGATACACCATCAACTGTTGTTTATAATGGTCAATCTTAGTATCGAAATTAGAAATGACGCGCGTATAATTAGACCCATTGTATTGCGCCTTGGGGAAATTTTCAATAAACTTTTGCTTCAACTGCATAAAGTTACGATACAGTTTTTTCAAATGATTGTAATAACTCGAAGTTTTGACAAATTGATTCATCATCCCCCAATGATTGGCTTGTTCATTAACGGAAAGATTCGATATATAAACCCCTTGTAATACTGGTTCCCATTTTTGAATAGTTTTCAATTTCTTAAATGTTTTGCGTGTCTTGATCAAATGGGGTAAATTGACCCATCCGTATTCTTCAGAAGATACGCTTTCTTCCAAGGTTGGTATAGCTGATATTTTAGCCGCCCAATAATTGCAAGTATTGACAAATTCCAAGGCAATTTCTTTGGTTCCAGCCTCAAAGATGAATTTCTTGGCAGGTTTCTTTGTAATTTTGGGGAATGTTAGCGTCCAATACACTTTACCTGTTTGATGATGTGGATGATGTGGTTGTTGTTGCAGCTGGTCTAAAGCGGCATAGGTAGAGCATAAGTTGTAAGTGCCTAATTTAACAGCATTTCGTAGCCAGTTTCCATCGCCTAAGTCGTCTTCAACATCATTTGTACGTTTATGTTTTTTGATCACTTTTGGGTCAAATGAGTAAAGGGATAATTCCCCCTTGGAAACAACAACAAAATGGTCAACAAATTTACTCAAGACATTGATATTTCTTGACTGGTTGAAAAACGACAAAAATCGATTAGCTTGATGCGTTTGTGAAATAGATCCATCGTCGATTGAATCATTATTTAAGATTTTCAACTTTAATAACCCTTCTTTAAGATAGGGACTACCATTTAGTTCCAATTCCAAGTCATATTCATCCTGATAATCTTCGACATCAAACTGCTCCATTTCTTTTTGATCCTCTTGCCAATTAGGACCAGTAATATCCAATGACAACACCGACATTGTATCGTCAACTTTTCTTGAAATCACTGATGTTCGTTTATTAGCTTGATCAAAGGATCCTCTATGGCGTAATGCTGGTGATGATCTTTGTGACATTAAGGAGTGGTTGGCATGTTTATACATGGATTGATCGTGGAGAACCGCCAGGCCAGCTAAAGCTCTTGCAAGCCCCACCCTTGCCGGTGCAGCAGTAGACGCAGTAGTTGCAGTAGTTGCAGTTTGCGACGTTATAGCTGATGATGCAGATGTAATTCTTTTCAAGTGTAACGGGAATCGTTGGTGTTGGTGTTGGTGTTGCTGCTGCTGTTGGAGTTGCTGTTGGGTGGTATCTGTTGACCAGATGGATGAATTTGAGCTCTTTCTGGTTACCGAATGATCTATTTCCCCATTTGTATCAGATGTTGTGGCTGCTGATGCTGGTAATGTTGTGGTGGTGATGTTTGTAGAATTATCCTCATCTTTACTAGCCCTGGAAAGTCGGTTTGAAGGTGTTGATGACGACTCAGTTTTTAAAATTAATTCATTCTTTAACAAATCATCATAGAAATCTGACAATGTTACTTCTATGGAAAGTTTTTGTTTTGTTGATAAACTCTTCAGTAATTTTGTATCTTGATGTAAAAAAGTCGAAAGGGTATTTCTAATGAAATCAGATTGACGAATACGCGATTTCCTATTCAATTCCACATTGTGTAAAGCAGTGTTTAGCAATATAAGCGAGTAAACAATGACATAAATTTGTTCAAAGTTTTGTGTGCAAAATACATTTTGAGGATGTTGGTTTAGGTATGATTGAGCAAACGAAGATAAAATACGATCCAACTCTTGAGATTCAGCCTTGAGGTATAGTTTGGAGCATAGTAAACGCATGGAGCTGAGTAAGTTAGCTGGCCATTTGAAGTTGTTGAAATAAAGTGATCTGATTTCTGACGATTCAGCATCATCACCAGCGAGAAACTGAGTTATTTCTGCTGGTTTGGCAGAGGATATCTCTTCTGCAAATAGTTTATTAGCAATCTTTGACGCGTCAACTGTGTCTCCTGTGTCCATAACTGTGTGTTTGTGTGTGTGTTTGTGTGTGTGTAATCTGTTGGATATATGTATAGTTCAGTTAAAAGAAAGATTGGAATAAGTTGTTGTTGTTGTTGTCGTCGTTGTCGTTGTTGCCGTTGTTGTCGTTGTTGTTGTCGTTGTCGTTGTTGTTGTCGTTGTCGTTGTTGTTTATCTTGTGAAGATAAATTTTCTATTTTTTAATTTTTTATTCTTTTTATTTTTTTTTTTTCCGTCGTCTAAAATTTTCTTGGTGGAAATAAAAATTAATCAAAATTAATGAAACAAAACTAACAGAAGAAGATGTTACAAAAGAAAATCCACCCAGCTAAGAAATGGTGGTTATGAGAATATCTTTTTAATGAAACGTTCAACAAAGTAGAGAAATAAGAGAATGGAAAAGAACAAGAAGAACAAGAAGAAGAAGGAGGAGAAGAAGGGAGAAGAGTAGTACATATATATATATATATATGTATATTTATATATTCTCTTCGCTTTTAATGTAACATTCAACTGAAGAAACTTAAACTCAAGTGTTGTGTAGGGTTTTCTTCGGTTCTTCGGTTCTTCGGTTAAAATATCGTTTTCGCTTAAATACAACTGACGCATATACAATTTTTGTTTGTTTTTTACGACAATAAAAACTTTAAGAAAGGGTCTCTTATATGAATAGTATGACACAATAAACAAATACAACAACTACTACTACTAGCACGAGAATAAAACTGATCATTGTACTTGGGTAGTATATATTATTCTCCACACAGGTGGGGTTATTGAGATATTGAGACACAGTTGACTTTGACTCTGGCTTTTCTTATAATGACAAATGATTTACAGGGCGTTTAATTTTTTCTTTTAATTTTAATTTTAATTTTTGGTTACATTCTGCTTCCAGGGTTGAAAAATCGTACTATTCTCTCCCTTTGCTTTTTCTCAACTTAACATTGTTTTCTATTTATTCTTCCTCTTTTCAGCTACATTTATCAATGATACTGACTCTCATTCGAGATGGAAAGCACTGTTAAGGGAGGGGGGGGGGGGGGGGGCGGTGGTTGTAATCAGAAGAGGTTGTGTTCTAGCTTTTTCTTTTATTCCTCTTGGTCTCTAATGACTTCAAAAGCTGTACTCCGTCAAACTACACAAGATTTCCCAACTCATCAAGCGTAACTCAAACTCTAAAACTTTTATAGAAAAAACGTTACAATTGCATACAACAAAGTAATGCAATTGGCTTTTTAATAATTTTGGTCCTGCAAGATAAATTGGTGATGTTTTTTGCATTAGTCTAAAGCATAAATAAAAAAGTGGTGCCATTTTATCTCCCCCCAAATCTCCAAAAATCCCAAAAAAACCCTAAAAAAATGGCAATGAAGTGAAGGAGGCGGCGAGCTGCAACTCCTTGTTGATTGTAATTAGTTAGTATACAAACACACCAACATAACCCTATTTTACCTTCAAATCACCTGCATTACCATATGTCTCTGTCGTAAATTATTGTGATTTGAAATGCGACACGACACTCTAGAATTTAGTGGGTCTACTATCATGTGACTATGTTTATATTGATTCACGCAACTTCCTCTCTGTGTTTATGTGTTGTTTTCTTTATTTTATTTTGGTATTCCAAGGTCGTAATAACCACCAACTAATAGTGTTGTTGATTTGTGTTACTATACATAGTCTCATATACTCTCTCCCTCCTCTAATGATTGATGTTCATTGGTTGGTTGGCTTTAATGGCTTTAAAACACAATATCTCATTTTACTTTCCCCCTCCCCCCCGTTAAGTGCGCGTCGCCCGAAAGCACAGCACAAAGAGAAAAACAAATAATAACAAAACAGGGGACGCGACGCTTGAGATCAATTAAAGACAGACAGATTCAGTTGATAGAAATAGTTGGTAAAAAAAAACAGATACCTGTTTCCTATGGTACAGACTAATGGCCGTTTCTACTATTATTGTATAGACGAAGATTTGGTATATTGAGAAGATGTTATATCATCATAATCATCTCGGGTCGGTTCTTAAAATACGTATTTTCTTGTGTGTAGGAGCTGTACGTGTGCGTTGTCTTCTTTTTTCTCTTTCCTGCTCAATGTGTTGTCTTTTTTTCATTCTAAAGTTTTTTTTTTTTTTTTTTTTTTCAAGGAGACAAAAGGACAACCATAGATTACACTAATAAACAACAGCCAACAGCCAACAGTACCTCAATTCATCAGACACATTAATCAACCAATCAATAGGTCTACTCTAATCATTGCCATTACTACACTGACCTATTCCTCCCCCACCTATAGCTATTTTCTCAACAAGCAATGGCTAAATCAAGCGTATCATCAGCCAAGTTGAAAACAGCTGCTGCCAAACTGAAACAGGAGGATGATGTATGGAATGTCGATCCTTTAGTCGATCCAGTATTTGGTAAAGGCACTCAACGGGAGTATTTAATCACTAACCCATCACCAATTATTTTACAAAAACGTCAATTTGTCAAACAAGAATATTTCTTTGTTTTTGCCTTGATTTCAATTGGATTATTTGTTAGATTAAAAGGGTTGTCTTACCCTGACTCAGTGGTATTTGACGAAGTCCATTTTGGTGGATTTGCTAGAAAATACATTTTGGGTAATTTCTTCATGGACGTTCATCCACCATTGGCCAAGATGTTATTTGCTGCCGTTGCATCAATTGGTGGATTTAATGGCGATTTCGAATTTAAAAAGATTGGCGACAAGTTCCCTGACACCGTGCCTTTTGTTTTCATGAGACAGTTTCCCGCCTTGTTGGGAGTTGCCACCGTGGTGTTGAGTTATTTGACATTGAGACAATCGGGTGTACGTCCTGTTGTCTCATTCATCACTGGGTTGTTATTAATTTTTGAAAACTCCAATGTTACTATTTCAAGATACATTTTGTTGGATTCACCATTGGTGTTTTTCATTGCTGCTGCTATATACTCATGGAAAAAATTTGAAATTCAGGTACCCTTCACTTTTGGTTGGTATCGGAGTTTATTTGCCACGAGTGTGACTTTAGGGCTTGCCTTAAGTTCGAAATGGGTGGGTCTTTTCACCGTGGCTTGGGTTGGACTCTTGTGCATTTACCAATTGTGGTTTATCATTGGTGATTTAACCGTTTCAACGAGACAAATTTTGGCTCATTTCTTTGTTCGTGGGTTTACCTTGTTGGGAGTCCCCATTGTTTTGTATCTTGCGTTTTTCGCTGTGCATTTCCAAATGTTGCCTAATGAAGGTGATGGAGGTGCATTTATGAGCAGTGCTTTTAGGGCTGGATTGAAGGGAAATAAAATCCCTACTGATATTGTTGCTGAAGTTGGATTAGGTTCAATTATCACATTGCGTCACCTCGATACTCAAGGTGGCTATTTACACTCACATCAACAATTTTACCCCACTGGTTCCAAGCAGCAACAAATCACCTTGTACCCTCATTTGGACTCAAACAATAGATGGTTGATTGAACCATACAATGGAACCATTTCCAACGATACTTTTGTCCCCTTGATCAATGGAATGAAGATTAGATTGAAGCATGTCAATACAGGCAGAAGATTACATTCGCATGATGAAAAACCCCCAGTTAGTGAGCGCGATTGGCAAAAGGAATGTTCGGCATATGGATTTGACGGCTTCGACGGTGATGCCAATGACGATTGGGTGGTTGAGATTGTCCAGTATAGAACCAAAGATGATGACGCCAAGGCCTTTGTCAAAGCATTAAAGACGATTTTCCGTTTACGTCATGCCATGACGGGTAATTATTTGTTTTCAAGTGAAGTTAAATTGCCCGAATGGGGGTTCGGCCAACAAGAAGTGACAAGTGCTTCTCAAGGTAAACGGTCATTAACTCACTGGTATATCGAAACCAATGATAACAAACTCTTGCCAAAAGAGCGTCAAACTATCATCAATTATCCTAAATTGTCTCTTTGGGAAAAAGTTGTTGAACTGCATCAAAGAATGTGGAAAATCAATTCCGGTTTAACTGATCACCACCACTGGCAAAGTGATCCATCAGAATGGCCATTTTTATTGAGAGGAATCAATTATTGGACAAGAGAACATAAACAGGTTTACCTATTGGGTAATGCCGTCACTTGGTGGGCGGCAACTACGGTCATTTTCACATTCTTCATTTATGCACTCATAACCGTGTTCAAGTTCCATTTAGGCAAACCAATGGCTACCAACAAGGAAGTTTTCAATTTCAATGTGCAAACTTTTAGTTATGTTTTAGGGTGGGCATTACACTATTTACCATTCTTCATTATGGGAAGACAATTGTTTTTGCACCATTACTTGCCAGCATTATACTTTGGAATTTTGTCATTGGGTCATTTCTTGGAAATCTTTACCAATTATTTCACATCGTCGTCGCGCGTGTTGCGCCAATTGGCCTTGGTTTTAGTCGCCGTTTTTGTCGTGTTGAGCACGGTTTTCTACCTCAATTATTCATCATTGATTTACGCTACCCCATGGACCAAGTCCGCCTGTGAGGTTTCGAAACCGTTTAGTACATGGGATTATGATTGTAATAATTTCCATCAAAATATCGCTCAATACGATTTTGCTGAAGAAAGTGAGGATCCTCTAGAACCGTCAAATTGGAAGTTGGCCCAACCTGAAGAAGCTAAGCAAACTCCTAAAGCCGTGCCAAATATAGCTAAAGAGGAAAAGAATATTGAAAAGCCACCCGTTGATGCACAAGAAGCACCAGTTAAGGAGCATGAACAATTGGCACCACCAGGAATCGATATCGATACCAAGTCGAATGGAGACAAGGATGCTGCTGCTCCTGACTCCATAGTTGAACAAGTTGATGTTGACGAAGAAAGTTCTATTGAAGAGCAAGTAGAAGCAGTCGCAGATGAACCAATTGTTGAAAAAGTTGAAAAACCGATGCTTGATGATATCCCACAATATGATCAAGTCGATGATATTAATCAAAAGATTGTTGAAGAAGAGTCGATTGACCCCCCAGTTCAACCAATAGAGCAACCAGTGGAGGAGAACCAACAACCAATTTAAAAAGAGAAATACAATAGAAGACGTAAACTTTGAATACACATTACCCTTTTATACATTAACCACTCCTATACACCACTTTGCACCCCTCAACCCTAACTCTATAATCTCTCTCCCTCAACATCCCCCTCTTCGTCGTCATTAACAATTGCTCTCCCCTTGACGTACTTCTCCGCTTTGATCTTTTGACCAATGTAATCATACAACTTGATTGTATTATTGACAGATCGATATACGGCAAACATCACAAACGAACAAATCCACGCCACGGGGAAATATCCTGGTCTCTGCACATTGTCATTTTTCAAAGCACTGGCATCCAAGTGCATGATTTTCCAAGCAGTATAACTCAAAGCTGGGATATAAACCAATGCATAATTCAACAAAAGGTACCCAAATCCAAGTGAAGATAAACTTTGTCCTAGAGTTTGTTCTCGTAAAAGAGGTTTGGTGAGATACATTATTCCCGGCAACAATGTCCACCATGATGCAACAAAGTGAGCAAATGTAGGCAAGGGCTCAAACTTGATGATTGAAGTGTTGAACCATGTTTGGAATGGGAAATCAACACAAAACAAGTGCACCGAAACAATCCAGTAAAGCCAAAGTGCAACCACAAATGCCATTATTGGAAGCTTGAAAATTACAAATCGATTCTGGCCATTGACATCATTACCATCAGCACCAAAGCCAAAATTAAACATATTTTCAAATAATCTTGGTCTTGGTGCCTCGCGTGCTTCAACTTCATTACCTCCCCCCTGCTGACGTTGTTGCTCAATATAACGGTCAAAAAGCTTGAGGATATTGACCTCCAATAATAATCCATAAATGAGACTGACCAGGTCAGCCAATTTCCAATTGATCTTGCCCGGTGAAAAGAAAGGCATTGTTTTGTCAAACAAAATCAGTTGTGCCACTGCAATGGGTCTCCCCACCACCAACGCCAATAAAACCACCAACAAGATGAGAAGTACGGCGAATACCCAAAGCATTAAAATTAATCCAAAGCACCGTAACTTGAAATTAGGCGGACGATAAACAATGCAATGGGCATCATCGGTATTTAGTTCTTCTTCTTCACTGGATGGCGTCTCATACCCTGAGTGCTTCATGTCATCCTCATTAATATCTCGCAATAGTTTGTCATCTTTCGTCACGGGCACAAACAATTTTTTGATAAATTTTCGCGAAACAGTATCGTTATCGGGAGCACGTACATAATAGCCATCAGGGACAAAACATGCATTAATCTCTGAATTGGTGGCAAAAATCTCTTGTGCTTGTCTATAAGTTACCGGCTGTGAATAATCTGGCGTAGCCGTGGCTAAAAATTGATCTTTCCAGCTGCGATAAACAATGTGGCCACGTTCTTGCAGGATTGGCTTGCCCATAATGAAATGAGACAACCTCAACTTGTGAGCACTGAGTTCAAATGCTCTTGCCCAATACATTCTCACATACTTTGTAATCAACGGAAGCATTTGCCTAATAAAAGCAGAACTCAACCCCAATGGAACCATAAAAATCAACCCACTAGGTGTAAGCAGCAATTCCATAGGCAACATCACATTGTACTTTCCGTGACTTGGAGCAACCATATACCTCAATCCCCATGTAACACCACCAATACCAAACAAAATGAACCCAGTGTAAACTTTTGCACTAAGGTAAATTCTCGACAATTGGAGTCCCAAAGGTTTAACCAATGCATCGTGGATCAATCTGGCATTTGGATCATCCGGGCTGCGGATAAAGTACAACACACCAGGACGCAAGATTGTGTTTCTCACCATCCCTACAAATAATGCAAAAAATAGCATGTATAAAGTACCCGATGCCCAGTAAAGCAGTGTCCGAATATAGGGCACTTGAGTCCAGCTGTCTATGGATGTAAGAAACAAAATAAATGTAGTACCGGATTTTGTCACTTGAGTAAACTTGTCAAGGAACAAAGGAGCAGCACAGAAATCCAATAACCAACCGCAATAAACCGGGAAAAAGAAGATTTCAATAGCAAAAATGACAAACACTTTAGCGGTGGAACTTAATTCAAACAACACTTTGTAAATGCGTCTTGAGGATCCAACGATTGGTTTTGGTCCCGAAGTTAAACTCTTCATTACATTGTGTATTGTGACACAAATGATGGCGTATCCAAAACCAAGAACCAAAATCCGATCCACTAAGCTATACTGGGCATTATTAGGGTAAACCAAATCGTTAAATGTATTAACACATGGCTCAACAATATATTCTCGGATAGTGAGGATGGAGAAATCAGCAAATTCATAACCTGTCTTGAGACTGATGTTCCAAGAAAGGGTTGGAGCATATGACATTATCAATTTGAAAACATAACCAGAAACAAACACAAACAAATCACCCAAGATATAAGGCACCACGTAGATCAAAAACAAATATGCAGTGATGATGGAGTCACACACCACCATAAGGAAAAGTGGCGTCTTAATATTCAAAATGATGCCGAAAACTTCCATAATTTCTCCAATAGCACCACCATTATTGTTTCCTTCTTCTTGTTGCTCCATTTGCTCAAAATCATCATCCAACGGTTGATGTACTTCATCCTCATCGTCAGACTCCGATTCGTCGTTAATTATAACCCTGTGTGCATCCTGGGCGGGCGCATTTTGGCCGATTTCAACATTATCAAAAACAAGATTGTCGTCATCTTCATGAATTACTTCCACATCGGCATGGTTCACCTCAACGTCGTCATAATTTTCTGGCCTGTGCAAGTTGTCATTGTCATTGTCATTGCCATTACGTTGTACATCTCCATTGAAGATCTCTCCTCTATTAATTGCTCGCCTCAACTCTTCTTCGTATTGTATATTCATCTGCTCGGCACGATCTTGTAGACTGTCAATGGCACGATTTAAATTTGCCTCCTGCACCGCATCCTCTCTTTCATTTTGATTTTCCTGTCTCCGCAACACATCTAATGCGTTCTGCAACATATCAACCAACTGGGTCTTTGGTTCTTTGCCAATTTTGCGATGCAATAGCTTCAAGTACCCTTCATCGCGAACGACCCATTCTCGTTCAACAAACAACGCAATATGAATAACGATCCCTACTAAAATGTATCGGACTCCGCTAAAGTACGTATAACTGAGGAATTTTCTCAACTTTAATAACGCAAGTTGCGGTGCCGTTACATTTTGAGTCAACCCATTTATGTCAAGCTCGCCAAAGTATAATGCATCAATGAAAGTGGGGTTATGTACAGGTAATCTTCCGTCTATGGCCCAAGTATATACACGCCCACAAAACTTCCAGAATATGGGTACTTGGATTATAATGCATAGCACGTACAAGAATATACTAATACTTTTAACCATCGTGCTCGATGCCACCTGAACAAACTTGTCCCACACTAGGGTGAAGGGTATAATCTTGGGCATGTTTGGATCATACAATATCCTGAACTTGTAAGGCGTATTGCAAATGTCACATTTTTCAGTAGATTGGTTGGAATGCTTTAGCCACTCCATTAAACAATCTTGATGGATGTATTTGATGGAGCCTCGGCATTTACAAGGGTGATATAGAGGCTCCAGTGGAGTTCCTTCACCACGACAAATTCGACATGTATGTTCCATATCGACCATTGAGCAACTAACTTGTATTTGTGACGTACACTGTGTAGCTATTCTGGTAAGGAGTTATTGATCTGTATGTATAGTCCAAATAATAGTCTTTCTATTATGATGTGTCAATAATGGGGTGGTTGTTTGGTATAGTTTTGGTTCTTTCAAAACCTAAGATGATTTACTAAGCGAGCACAAGAGGTTTAAATTTTGCTACACCTTTTTTGGTCTGCACACTACCACAGATCTAATATTTCTGTTTACCTTCAAATAGAGTTTGATCTGATCCTCCTGATTTGAGAATGCATGAATACGAGTTTATCACCAGTTGGAAAAGTTATGTTTGATTTCGTGGGAACTAAGAAGGAAAGTGCGTAATTGATGCAAAGTTCAGGCCTTCTCTCAATTCAAAAACTAAATTTCAAGGTTGGTCCAGATTCATCAACTTTCGAAAGGGAGCAATTGAGAAGGAGCATCCGAGAATAAGCATTTGAGGTTTCACGTTAGAAACATCGTCTTGAAATACCATTGCAGCAGTATCATTTGTTCTGGGAGTTAGAGTAATTTTGAATCAGTTTGGGAATAACCATTGTCTTCAAAGTGAGTTGCATTTGCTACTGAGAAACTACCAACATAGATAATTACAATTTATAGAAGCACTTGCTTCAAGCTTATAATGGGAAAAGAGGAGGGTCGGTGTTGGATGTGGTGTTTTTGAACAGAATTTGCAATGTTTTGAATGATTTATATGCAGACAACTCACTTCACAAGACATTTCCATATCTTAAATTGCAATACCTGTTTCATCCAAGTTTTTATAAAATATATACACCCTCGTGGTATTGGATGCTGTTAGATTATGTTTCTACTTGTTGAGCCGTAGTTTGTCAAACCACCCAAGTATTCCAATACTGTTGCTTATTGTCGCTAGACCCGAAGGACAGGTTAGAATCCTCGCAGAGCAATGACTGTCCCTCCTCCTCAGTGTGACATCCACCCTTGATGAGAGTATTTCAGCTCGAAGGCTCTGCCAGTGATATACTAGGGCGTCCCTTTGGGACAAATTGCCAGTTGATTGGCGAGGCTTAAAAGAAGGTGTAACGAATAAGCATACGTTGATTCGAATATATAAAAAGATCAAGCTACTTAACAAAATAGACACTGTCATCATCCAATGTATCATGT